CAAACACCACTTCAAATTAAGATCGAAATTGTGATAGAGTTTGTTTGTTTTTTTTTTTTCAATATGGCTGTAACAAAAAAAGTTGATTAAGGCTATAAATGTCAAGGAGCATGATACCTTTATTAAAATAAACCTTTGTTTAATCAATTGTTCATGTATTTATTTATACAACAAGCAGTAATCGAGTGCCTACTATATGCCTTGCACTAATAGTAGAGAAACAATGTTTTTAAAAGTCCCAATCATCTTGGAGCTTATACTTTGGTAGGTTGAAAGGCAATAGACAAGATAAGTAAAATACATATGTTAGATAGTAATAAGCAGCAAAAAGGAAAAAAAAAAAAGGTAGATAAGAAAGATGAGAACATATGAGGGGCATGATGAAATTTTAGACTGGGTGACCAGAAGGCTTTGCTGAGAAGTGAAGCAAACAAAATGACGGGAAAAAAAAAAAATGTTTGAGTTGACAACTACAATAACCACCATCCCCCATGCCCAAGAAAACAACTACAAGGGAGAAGAAAATACTAACCCAATGAAACAGAATTAAATATCCTTAAACAAGCATTTGGCGACATTAAAAAATACCATGCATCAAAAATTTTAAAAACAGAAATAGACAAAGAACAGGAAGAAATAAAACAAAAACTGATTATACTCAGGAAAGAAACAGAAGAAAGTAAAATCATACAGAAATAAAGATGGAACTAAAAAGTGCAGAGAAGTCTTGCTTTTAATTATAGCAACGTACCCCACCTACAGACCATCCTTCCTGAAGAACAACTATTAACTGTGGACAAAAGGCAAAAAAAAAAATTACCTTAGAATTCCAAAGAAGAAACAACAGCAGGCACAGTGTGGAGGAGAGCCCATGAGACATTCACCAAAGCTGGCCATATCCTGGGCCATAAAACAAACCTCAACAAATTTAAGGGTAGAGAAATCAGACAGAATGTGTTCTCCGACTATAATAGAATAAAACTGGAAATCAATAACAAAAATACAGTCAGAACTCAATAACAAGTTTTTTAAATCTCTAAAAATATGTATATTAAACAACATTTCTAAGTAATTCATGAGTAAAGAGAAAGTATCAAAGGAAATTAATAAAAATATGTACAACTTAATAATGTGTCAAAAAATCTGGCATGCGGCTAGAATAGTGCTAAGAAGAAGTTCATAATTAAGCTTTTACAGCAAGAAAGTAGAGAAAGAAGAGCAAAATAAATCTAAAGCAAGCAGAAGGAAGGAAATAGAAAAGATCTGAGCTGAAGTCAGTGAAATTGATAATAGGAAAACAATTGGGAAAATTTAGCAAACAAAAGTTGGTTCTTAGGAAAATACCAATAAAATTGAGAAACTCCTAGCAAGACTGACAAAAAAGAAAAGAAAAAAAAGAGAAGATACTGACATCAAGAATGAATTAGAGAACATCATTACAGATCTTGTAGCCATTAAAAAGATACTACTACAAGCAACTTTTATGCTAATAAATTTGAAAACTTAGAAATAATTGACCAATTCCTTAAAAAGCACAAATGACAAAAACACAAGATAAAACAGAAAATCTGAATAGTCTTATAATCATTAACAATTACATGCATAATTTTCAAGATCCATAAACTAAATCTCCAGGCCCAGATGGTTTCACTGGTGAATTCTACCAAATATTTAAAGAAGAATTAACACCAGTGTTACATAATATCTTCCAGAATACAGAAGATGAAAGAACACGTCAACTCATTTTCTGAGGTTGCTATCGCCAAATAACCAAACCAGTCAAAACCAAAAAAAAATACAGGCCAATGTCTTTCATGAACTTAGACACATAAATTCTCCATAAAATATTAGCAAAACAAATCCAACAATGTTAAAAAGAAATGATTTGTTTTTGGTAAAGACAGCATCCCACTATGTTGCCCAGGCTGGTCTCTAACTCCTGACCTTAAGCAATCCTTCCACCTTGGCCTCCCAAAGTGCTGGGATTACAGGCATTAGCTAATCCACCCAGTGATTTTTGTCAGTAATCTATTGTCTCCAGTTGTTTTTGCAAGTTAGTTTCTTTGGTTCTCTGCAGTTTCACTATATCTAGGTTTTTCTTTATCTGTGTCTATCTTGTTTGGAACTTGCCATTTTTCCTGAATCTAATGATCATGGCTTCCATCAATTCTAACAACAAAAAGAAAAAAGGAAAAAAAAAAAAAAAAAAAACCTCAGTCTTCATCTCCTCAATGCTACCTCTTTCCCATGTTCTCAGTTCTTTCTAGAATGCTTATTAGAAGCATTTGAGATGTCTCACTCTATCATTCACATGTTAACTTCTATATCCTCAAAACCCAACAGTGCCTGGCATGTGGTCAGTGCTCATCTGTGGAACGAATGAATTATACTAAACCCATTGGAAATCAAAATAAATGCACCAGATCAAGGCAGAAATCAGGCATCTGCTGAAATCCAACTTCCTAGCAGTTGAATCTTTAACCTACTACTCCAGTCAGATACAAAAAGAGTTAAATCTGGGATTGTTTAATGAAAGGAACCAATTGTACAGGTACACCCTTTGGGAGTGTGGGAAGGGAGTGCTCCCTGTTTTGAGGAAATTGGATAAAATGGCTCAGAAAATACGTACAGAACCAACCTAGGGACACATCATCAATGACGTGAAATCAAGATTGGTTCATGTTTAAAGTTTCCTTTTGGGTACTTAATTTGCATTGGCTGTGCACCTACTAGAATATTATCACAATTCTGCAAGGTAGGCACTGGCATCAATATTTTATGTAATTAAACTGAGGTATAAATTGAAGTAACTTGCCCAAAGTTATACAGCTGGTCTCGAACTCCATACAGATAGTTAACTGGCTAAATCCAAATCTGATCCAAGATCTGCCCAGCCCTAAAGCCCATACTCCTCCCACCACGCCCTGCCACTTGATCAGATGCTGCCTACTGGGTCAAACTTGGAAAACTGAACCAACTCTATCAGATAGGAAGTCATCACTTAGTGCCTTACATTATAGTGTTTGAACCATGACATTCTGGCTTATCAATCTATAATAAAAATTATTACAATGTGTTAAAAAGCTCTTTATTCATTCACATATATTATTGCATTAAAGGTTCACTCCATACCCATGAGTAGAAGCAGCAAAAAGATAACCACTCCACTTTACATATGAGGAACCTGAGATTCACAATACATAATGTGCTTCTTCCAAATTGACAATGTGAGTGAATGGAAGAGTGAAAAACAGCTCGATTTCAGGTCAGCTTCACCCTTCTCTCCCAAAGACAGTGGACACAGTGGTGTGCAGCTCTCATTTTCACTTATAGAATGTTTATAGAAAACCTTTAACAACAGAATTAGAGAAACTAATCAAAAACTTCATAAACTGTGAAGAAATTATATATCATCTTTTACTTTTGTTAACTCATTCAAAATTTTACTGACTTTAGATTTCAGGCATTACATTGGTTATATTTACAGTAAAAGTATATGGCATTTTATCATTTTTTTTCATATCAAGTGAGGCCTGGGGTGTGGTTCTTTGAAAATTTATAAAGAAAAAATTTGCATAATTATCTGATACATGTAAACTAAATCCTCACCACTTTCCTCTACTACTATAGTGTACCTTACGCCAGCAGTTACCCAATTAGAAAATTTTATCGAAACTTAATGCGAGTGAGTAATTTCTTGTTGCAAGTTTACAACTATTAAGATATGATCATGAAAATAGGTTGGTCACTAATAAACAAATTTGTAAATAGTGTTAAGGATCAGGCCCAATATTAGCATGAACTCCCTCAGAATCAATAAAAGATATTTTTTAAACAAAAAATAATTCAAGTCACCCAAAAATGTATCTATTTCGTTTTTGTTATTAACCACATGGACACCACATGAGGATTGTTAGGATTCTAACAATTTTAAGATTGTCAGAAGCAGCATATGGAGGAAGAAATAGTGCAAAAGAGCTAAAAACATTGCTCGGAAAGCAACAAAGTTCCGATTGCCACTCAAATAGTGGGCAGTACTTCCTTTTGCTGGGGGCAGGCCAAAGAAAAGAGCAGTGTGTGCCTGTGTCACAATTATTCAAGTCCACCTCTTGTCCCATGGAGCACAGCTTAGACCCCAGTTGACAGAATAATATAAACAGATATTCTGTTGGGTGACTTGATTTTATTTTTACATAAAATCTTTCAGAAAAGAACTCTAATAATTTTGATGTGATACCATTCTAGAGAATAACTAATATTTTTACTTTATCGATTTTTAATTTTAGAGATGGAGTCTTGCTCTGTCACCCAGGCTGGAGTGCAGTGCCGTGATCCTGGCCCACTGCAACCTCTGCTTCCTGAGTTCAAGCGATTCTCCTGTCTCAGTCTCCCAAGCTAAGATTACAGGTGCACGCCACCACACGCGGCTAATTTTTGTATTTTTAGTAGAGATGGGTTTTTGCCATGTTGGCCAGGCTGGTCTCAAACTTCTAACCTCGTGATCTGCCCACCTCAGCTTCCCAAAGTGCTGGGATTACAGGCTTGAGCCACTGTGCCCGGCCCAGTCTTTTTCTCATATGCATACAAGCATGCACACATACACATTCTCGGAGATAATTCCAAAAGGAAGGAAAATACAGTCATAGTTCATAGTTTATTACAAATGCATATTATCCAACATGATAGAAATCCACGTGCCCCAGAATGTACAAGAAGGTATGCAATGTTCCAGAGTATCATTGTCAGTTCTGGTTTTTTTAATATATATATATGTGTGTGTGTGTATATATATGTGTGGGTATATATATATATATATAAAATATACATATTTTTTGAGACAGGGTCTCGCTGTCACCCAGGCTGGAGTGCAACGGCACAATCTCAGTTCACTGCAACCTCCGCCTCCCAGCCTCAAGAGATCCTCCCACCTCATCCTCCTGAGTAGTTGGGACTACAGATGCATGCCACCACACCCAGCTAATTTTTTTATTTCTTTTTGTAGAGACAGGGTCTCACTATGTTTCTCAGGCTGGTCTCGAACTCCTAGTCTCAAGTGATCCTTCCGCCTTGGCCTCTCAAAGTGCTGGAATTACAGGCATGAGCCACTGTGCCCAACCTGATTATCTGTCTTTTGAATAGTGACCCTAATGTGCTTTTCCAGTTCCAGTAACTTTTGATAAAATTTTTCAGCAGTGTCTTCATCTAGGTCCATCTGGAAAAGAAGCAAAAATAAAGATGTCTAGAAAGGAAAATTAAGATGAATAGTATTTGTATAAAAGAAAGTCATTCAATATATGAAACAAAAAGAAAGGAGGCAGCAGGAAAAGGCCATGGTGGCAGACACGTGGGGACTGTCAGGAAACTGAGAGCCTGAAGACATACTAAATGTCAGTCTCAGTTCCAACACTCACCAAACCCACTGATGCTTCCCTTAAACAGCAAGACTGAAAGATCCGCGTTTTGCTATCTCCCCCAACTTCTATATGCCCAGGAAACAGAAGACACCAACCAACTGTGATATCAAAGGACAAAACAGAAAAATCAAGAGTTTCGTGAATTTCTAATGGCTACTTACTTCCTAATATCCATCTGGCTTAGTAAAAAAGCCCTGGTTTGAGCTGGGCTCACGGCCCTCTAGATAAAAGATGATACTTCAGCCCCTGTTGAAACAATGGGTGCCAGAGCCATGAGACTATGTTCTGGCCAGTGAGATGTAAATAATACCTGTAGTCTCTTCAAGAGAAATAAAGCATCCCTTTTTTCTTCCCTTCTTCCATACCACTCTCCAGCCGCAGGCCTGAGGGCCACGCCCTAATGGCCAGGTGGTGACTGCAAGGAACTTGGGTTCCTGACAATTTGTGGAGCTGCCATGGCAGCCTGAGACTGCCTCTCTCGTAAATGCTTTTACAGGCAAGAAATTTAAGATTCTATCTGGTTCAATCCATAATTATTTTACATTCTTGTGTTTCATGCAGGAAATCTCGACAGTATGTAAAGGCAAACTTTCAGCCCTTTTAAAATAGCGATATCCTTTTTTCAAGCCAACACAGAGCCTAAACTTCAGGAACAGCCTCTTTGTTCACAAAACTGAAAGGCTAAAAATTAAATAAACTTTTGAACATTTTGAAAATAACATTTATTTTCAATCATGTTAGTTTTTCCATAATGGAACTGGAAGAAGCATTACAGAACTCTTCTAGTTCAACCCCATCTTTTAACAGAAGAGAAAGCTGACTTACCCAAATAATCAAAGGTTAAAATACTTTCTTCAATGCATTTCCATAAAATGCTAATGAGTATGTCAGTTTGTAGAATTAAACATTTTTTCCCTTGATAAACAAATCATTCCCTCTAAGTTAACAGACAGTAAGTTCAAATACACTCTGCTAGCCTAAAGTAAGTTATTAGTTTATAATAGAATTCCCCAAAGGGATGTTACAGGTTATGTAAAATTTGGTTTAAAAAAAATTCATGGTGAGGAACCGAAAACAGCAGGATTAAATATTTCACACACATTTCTTAACTGTTTCAACTTCTCACAGCCTTTACTTTGCTGATGTATGCTGTACAAGTCTCTGAAAGAGGGGAATGTAATATGAAGCATGGTTCAATTTTACTTGCTACAGGAACTGCTTCTTGCAAATCTTCTCAAGAAACTAGTATCCCACAGAATGTATTTTGAAAAACCTGGAAGGTTCACTTTTAGTGAACAGATAGCACAGGAAGCCAAGTGCATGGCTCCCCTTTCAGCTCATGCTACTAACAGACGCCAAGATCGATGCCAGTTACTTGACTTACCTAACAGTCACCTCAATCTTATTTTATCTTAAGCTAATACCTCCTCACAACAGGCTGGATCGTGGAAAATCGAAGGCTGAAATAAACCTTAGTCATGACAAAAGTATAACAAAGTACTTCTCTCAGTTTAAAATAAATGTTCTCATTCCCCAGTATGTAACTCTATGTTTGATTTCATTTTAGATTACACCAAGTCTAAAAAACACAGTACTGATTTGATTTTTTTTCTGCACATTATCCTGTTCCTCTTCAAAACACCAATCTATTAAAGCTGATAATTGTCACAAGCAGAATTGAATACTCAAAGGGAAGTTAAGTTCACACAGAAAAACACTTCCTATTTCATCCAACTTGCAACGTATTTACTGAGCGTCTACCATGTGTAAGGCAGTCCGCTAGGAAATGGGGTATGACCCTCCTCCTCACAGAGCTTACATTCTGACAGAGGAACCCGAAGGTGAACAAGCATGATCTGCAACAGGTACAGGATGTCAAGAAAGCCTACCACAGAGGCACCCAGGCCTGGTCTACAGGGTCACTAAAGGCTATGAGATAAGCTAATCTGAAGGATGAGCAGAAATTAATCATCAAGAGGCTGAGAGCAGCTTAGGTCAGGAGAACAAGATGTGCAAGAAACAGGAGAGAGCAGGACGAAATAAAATCAGGCCAGTGTGATGCTGGTGAACAGTGAGTACTCAGAGAAGGGAAGCTGGGGGGCTGAGGGGCTGGTCAGGAACACGGGCTTAATTCATCAACCCAGCAGCAAACATCAGTGCAACAACGTAAGCACATTTACCTTCTGGGTCATAATGTAATTTCTTCCAAAGCCAGTGGTGGCACTGAGATATTTGATCAGAGGATTGAGAGATTCGGGCTTTTGGTGGAAAAGCCATACCTGGAAAGGAAGGATGTGTCAATGATTTGTTTCTTCTGCCCAAGGTGAGTGAGGCTGGTGGAGATTCACAATCAGCACTTTATAGAGCTCCCCAGACAAATTATAAACATCTTCTCAAATATCATCAGTGAACGGTTTAGCAAATGTATTGAGAACTAATTAAAATATAGTTTAAAAGCACTTGCTTCTATAATCAATTTGTGTTCCTACAATAAACACATTTATTTCTGTAACATTTACCAAAACAAGAGCATCAAAGCCAATTCCATTTATGTTTTCCTTAGCTAATTTCAATTAAGTCAAGATTTAATAATCTACTAAGTACTACAGTGCTAGGTCCTTAGGTTTCCAAAGTGAATAGCAAAATTCCTGAAGGAGCTCAATGGAATGAGGGAGACAAACATAAAGAACTGACTCAGATACAATGGGTTTTTAATGTAGGACAATTCTGATCCATTAGTAGAGGCTGCCTCTGGAGCTCTGGGTTGAAGAATATTCAGAGACACCACTTGCGTACAACAGAAAGGAGTATTATAGCCCATTAGTAATGTCTGCCATTGATGAGGAAACACACGCAACCCATTTCCATGTGTGATTTAAGGAACTCAACTGGCTTCCTAATAAAATAACAACTTGATCCTCTAAGAAAGGGAAGAAAATCTTCATAGAGGGGAATGGTGTTGAACTTTGTTATCTTGGCTCTTGACCCACAAGATGCTCTTTCTCCATGGGAAATCACGGACTGATTGTGCAGTCATCGTCCTGCTTTGCCTGCCCCTCCAGCTTTCCACTGCTCTGTCTCTCCTCCAGCTGCTGGTGTATCCTGCCTCTAAAGAAGTGTTTTCCCTATAGTCATGGTGCCCAGTGCCATGGTAAATGTCAAACTTGCAAACTTCACTCCTAATGTTCTGCGCTTAGCCTTATAGTCCGCTTTAGCTCCAAACAGGACCTCGATTATTCACAGAGCTTATTCTCTTATTATCTCTTCTGTCGAAATTATTTCTACTACGAGTGAACCTGTAATTCACATCTGCTAAGCCATCATACAAGTTATAAAAACTTCAGTAACATACCAGCGCTTCTGTTCCATTGTATGGTGTCAAAGTGAATGCATTTGCAAAAAAGCGAAGCTGCAGAAAAGAAAACAACAGTTATTTTTGTGGTAGTTTAGAATACAGTCACAAAATAATTATTCATTTAAATATTAAAAAAGAAAACTTGCCTTTCTGATTATAGAACATTTTTTAAGTAACAAAAAATAGAGGTCAAAAAAGAAACATCACTTAATCTCCATACTCCAAATCAACCACTTTTAACACGAAGGTCTATTTACTTCTGATCTTTTCTTTATGCCTGCCCTAAAGGAGAGATATTTCTTCCTGAGCCCTAAAGGGAGAATCATTTCCTAAAAATAGCATTTTTCAATGTGTGCCAGAGAAACGATGGTCCTGCAAGATGTTCAAATCACGAAACAAAAATATGGTTCTATAGTTACATAATGTACAATTATCCCCTTTTTGGGAACTGTTAATGCACATGACCACTTTGAAAACTTAGAGAAGTCCAATTTAACAATGTTTAACATGGGTTTTCTGAAATTATATGATTACAGAACTCTTGGGATCTGTGGTGCATGAGCAATGAAACATTCCTTTAAAGAGAAGTGGACACTCAAATGGTGGTGTGGCAGTAATACTTAGAAATATAAAGCAGAGGTTTCACATTTAGTAAGTTCAAAACCTCAAGTTAAATGGCATTCAGGTTCATTCCTTAAATCATTTCCCAACCCTTAAACACATCTTCTAGGTCCCAAAAAGAGATTTTATGAGCTAAGAAAAGAAGTATTCATCACTTACTAGCAATATTGCCGGCATCAACAGTGTCCATATAAAGGGAGGCAGAATTCCATATGTCAAATTGGTCAGTGCTGTACCTGGACACACCACATTGGAATACAGACCCTAGGAACAGACAGGGGTAGCAATAAGACTTTAACTTAATGTGTATTGACTCAGTCCAGCTACATGCTAGTTAATAAAAGAGGTATGTACATGAGCCAGAAGTCAGGTAATAAAGAATTTACGTTTTGAGTTGTCTCTGAAGGTGGGTAAAACATTTATGTTGAAGAATCATGTATTAAGAGAACCCACTGTGAGAGGCACCCAGGATGTAAAAATTAGTAGGACAAAGTCTCTATTCTCATGACCTTGCAGTATAAAAAATAACCAATCTTCAAGCTGGGGGAGAAAAGCAGGGCCTGGTTATCTGAGTTTTCCCTATTATTGGCTTAACTGAAGATCAACTTTTCAATAATCATGAGCATTTACGATTAAAGGATGTACAGAGTACAGTCCTTGCATTCAAGAAGTTTCTGGCCTAATAAATAGACAGTTAAACCTAAAGTATGTGTCTGTTTCCCTGCAGGTACATAAGACCCATACGTCTAGCTTGAGGTGGGTGCTCCCGGCATCAGGCTGTATGTGCTGTCACTTTCTCCAACTGAAGATCTCTAAATCAGGTCCTTAGCCTAGAACTCATTTTAGAAAGTTCCACCCTATAAAGAGAGCCCCAATTAACACAGAGCTTATTTAATCTAAAGGGTCCTAAGTGATCTATAGTTAAGCCCTGGAGCCCTGGGACTATCATGAGGATAAGTCTTAGCTCGTGACCTTTTTCTAGAGGATTGCTGGGAAATCAAGGGGACTCTCAGGGATGGTTGATCCATGTCAGGCAATGCCAAGACTCTGCAGCACCAAATAAAGGAGGAAAAGCCTCCAGGTTCTGTTGCTTAGGGTGCTATCTGTTCATTGAACTGTCTGTTACAGACAGAACCTGAGAATCCCCTTGATTTACCAACAATCCTCTAGAAAAAAGTCAAGAGCTAAGACTTATCCTCATGATAGTCCAAAAGTTTTTCCTAAGAAAATAATGTACTCTGCCCCCAAAACAGCTAAGGAAAAGTTCTTATTCTAGGAACTACCTAGGAACACTTGTGGACTATTCTGTCCTAAATGAAGAAATCTTCAAACTAAAATCCAGGGTTTCCAACATATATAATTTTCTGATGTTGAGAGATAGAAAAAGAAAGAAAGAAGAAGACAATCTTAACCAAGACTGTATCCTTCCATTTGTTTAATTATAGGGATTAAATTGTGATGATCCTGAGTATTTCTATATGGCTTGAGTCGGGGAGGATGCATGGATGATTCAAGTCTATCAGGCAGTCTATATAGAACCTGACAACATTTCCAGTAACACAGGGCTTCAAAAGGAATACTGTAATGTCATTCTTTCTCAGCTGCTTCTTTCCTCATAAAGGCCAGGGAGAAAAAGTCATTGGCTGAGAACCAATCTCAACAGATTTTACAAGCAATAGCTAAATGTCCCTCTTTCATAAAAGATAGAATCCCAAACCTTACTTGATAACTGAGACTTAAATAGAATCCCAGACCTTTCTATGAAAGGAAAAGCTAATCCCTCTAAAAGGGAGTTCTCAGAGTACCAGGAAGCAGTTGTGACAAGTTTTTAAACGTCTCAAGAAACTTCGGAAGGAGGTGCACAATGGGGCCAACATGCTGAGTCCAACCTGCAATATTAACAGCCTATACAAGAACACGTACAGGCATCTGCAGACCACATGCACCAACACCTACACATGTGCACACACCCAAAAAATACATGCACAAACACATGTGCACACACCCACAAAACCCATACACGTACATATGAACCCCCTACACATGGGTAGGCACACAAATACATATCCACGCTCAAGCATATCCACATGTATGTATTTGTACAGACACATGCACACACAAACTCACATTCTGAATACAAAGCACTGCTGTGAGTGCTTCATCCAGATCCCCTCAGTCCATCTTCCCAATAAATCTGTGAGGCAGGCACTATTACTATCCCTATTTTTCACATGAGGAAACTGAGGCATAGGGAGATTAAATAATATGCCTAGGGTTACAAAGAGTCAGGATTCAAATTCAGTCCTAGAAAGTATGCTCTTAGCTTCAACTTTATAAGAGGCATGATTCAGGCTGGGTGCAGGCGCTGTAATCCCAGCACTTTGAGAGACTGAGGCAGGCAGATACCTGAGATCAGGAGATCGAGACCAGCCTGGCCAAAACAGTAAAACCCTGTTTCTACTAAAAATACAAAACGTGGGTGTGGTGGCACATGCCTGTAATCCTAGCTACTCGGGAAGCTGAGGCATGAGAATCACTTGAACTCAGAAGACGGAGGTTGCAGTGAGCTGAGATTGTGCCACTGCACTCCAGCCTAGGCAATAGAACGAGACTCTGTCTCAAAAAAAGGGGGGGGCATGATTCTAAGAGCCAGATCACAAAATACCACCTGATAAAGGTAGCCATTCCAGAATAAGCCAGGTCTAGACTATCACATAAGGCTTATATTTCTATGTCTAATTCATGATCCAAGAAGCTCCCTTGAGGGAAAACATAATTCTTGATCATCTTTTTATTTCACTTTTCTCCTCAACCCTAAACCTGGCCCAGTGCCCTAAACATGATAAGTCTTTTATAAATGTTAGTGAAATTAAACTTCTCCATAGCCCCATACTCATACAACACTGTTAATCAAAGCAAACAAAAGAAAATGTCCAAGGGGAAGACTGGAGATTTTCAGGTAAGAATTTAGACCTGGGCAACAGAGAGATAAAAGAAGCAGTAAACTGCAGACCATAGTGGCCACAAGGACTCAGTATGACCAACAAGGGTCACCATCCCCTGTAAAACATCCTATAAACTGAGATCCTCATAGAGACAGAGCTCTGGAGTCTTACCTAAAACCACCACTATCCAGAAGGTTTTATAACTACTTCACTGTCCTATAAACATCTGCTATGACAACCACTAGGAGGCAGCATGGTGCAGGGGGAAAAGTCCAAGCCATAAAGTCAGCCAGCCTCGGGCTCAATTTTGAGCTCTACCATTTACAAGTTGTGTGACCATCGGGTAAATGACTTAAGTTCTCCGAGATTTAGAGTCCTCATCTGAAAATGGTTATACTTAAACCCACCTCCATATAATGAGGCAGGTATTTAATAACACACACAGATGAATACAGAACCTGAAACACAGCAAGCACCAAAACAGTAGTTATTATCACTTTTAGTAGTGTCACTCTGTTAACATAAGTTAGAATTCCTGAAGAACCACAGAATGATGAATGAACTACCTGTAACTAAAATGTCAGGAGCTAATTATCTCTGCCCTAACATTTTCGTATACACCAACTATCAATCTAAACTACAAAAGTTAGTGGAAAGCCAGCTACCTTACTAGGAAATCAATAGTAGGTAATTAAGAGAACCTGCCCTGCCATTTCCATATCACTGAGATGGGCCTTACCTGCTGGTTGAAGTTCCTGTTCAAAGCCACACTCAGAAGGTCAGTGGCATATTTGGAAGAACTGTAGGGCTCCTTGCCTTTGCTGTGCTGGAAGTCGTCGAGGCTGAAATTAGATTTCCTTGCATTGCGAGACGATGTCCAGATGAGCTGAGATGGACTGTCACTGTGACAAAGGAGAGGCTCTAGTTCCCGAATCTGGGTGAAAGAAAAAAAAAAAAAGAACAAAAAAGTATTAAAATATACTGGCAGAATACAGATAACAATTTTGAAACCACTGTACATCTATACTGAAATTGAACAATTAGGAGGGAGGATGGTGGGAGTCAGGTTTGTCACTGTTGAAGTGAGACATCACAAATAAGCATGGGGAGGAAGCTAGAATGATCTATATGGTAAGAGATTAGGGTCAGAGACATCAGTATTAACTAGTTATCTAAAAGAGACATGAATTAGTTACATAGAAAAATATTTATAGATATGCATACATACATGAGTTAGTACGCTAGTATGCACACACATATCTCTGTAGTCTATTAGCACAGAGGGTTTAGAAGACACTGATCTCTCAGTAGCAATAAGCACCCAGATCTTGGTTTCTAATAACCATTCTCTGATAAAAGAAAACATATGTCTTTAGAAAAGTATCTGATTCTAGGACTGAACAAGGAAACACACAAGATGATTCTGAAGCATCTTGTGGTGCCAGATAGTAAGAAACTGCTCAAAATGAAAGCTAAAACAAAAACAGAAAACCACAATGATGGGGGTGTGCCAAAGAGATACAGGAGCCAACTGAAAGAGCTCCCAGTGGTTAAAAGTGAAAACATTTGAGCAAGAAAATAAAATAGTATTTATAATTTCAAAGCAGGAAATACATATTCATGAGTCCATGTGGAAAAAATAAATGACTGAATAAAGACATAAATAAAAGAGAACAGACAAATCTCCCTTGCAGAAAAAATCCAAACAATTTCTGTAGATAACCCACTCTCTTAAGGAGGTAAAGCATTAGCCAGTATGCATTGGCTGCACATAGTAACTTTCTTTCTTTTTCTCTTTTTTGAGACGGAGTTTCACTCTTGTTGCCCAGGCTGGAGTGCAGTGGCATGATCTCGGCTCACCGCAACCTCTGCCTCCTGGGTTCAAGCAATTCTTCTGCCTCAGCCTCCCGAGCAGCTGGGATTACATGCATGTGCCACCATGCCCGGCTAATTTTGTTTTTTGACAGAAATGGGGTTTCTCCATGTTGGTCAGGCTGATCTCGAACTCTCGGCCTCAGGTAATTCGCCCGCCTTGGCCTCCCAAAGTGCTGGGATTACAGGCATAAGCAACCGTGCCCGGCCCAACTTTCTTTCAAAAAGTAGAGTATGAAAGGGGAGAAAGAAAAAGTAACTTAACAATGGAGAAACCTGACAAACATTACTTCAAGCCAGGAGAGCAAGGTTAATATCAACACTGAGAAGTCATACTGATAGAATACACCCTTGATATGATATCATGAGAATGTCACTTTACCTCTGTGACATTTCTCCCAAAAACCACATTCTTCAGTCTCACCATGAGAAAAACATCAGACAAATCCCAATTGACAGTCTACAAAACACTAAGCAGTACTCCTCAAAACAGTCAATGTCATCAAAAACAAGGAAAGTCTGAGAAGCTGTCACAACCAAGAAGAGCCTAAGGAGACATGACTGCTAAATGTAATGGGATCCTAGAACTGAAAAAAGACATTAGGCAAAAACGAAACCGGCATAAGTGTGTACTTTAGTTAATAATAATGTAGTAAAATTGATTCATCTATTTTGACAAATGCATCATACCAATGCAAAATGTTAATAGGGGAATCTGGGTGTAAGGCATACAGAAACTCTCTATATTATCTCTGCAGTAATTCTGTAAATCAAAAACTATTAGTACACTTATTGAAGAAAAATCTACTAGGAAAGCTTCCAGAAGTATTCCATGCTTACAATAAACAAGCCAAATGCAATCAAGAAAACTCAAACATGAGATTAAGTCAGTTAACTGGTTGCTCAACTATAGCAATGCCCCGTGCCCAGAGCTTTACAGAAACTATCACACCAAATACTAGCTTATTAAGCCCACAGCTTTTTTACCAGGATAAAATGGCCAAAGACATTGGTCTCAAACACCTCCTGAAGTCCATCAGCAGTGATCTTATCACCCTGGGTCAGCAGGCCTTCAGCTGTGGAGAACATATGAATCACTTTTCTGAAATAGCAGAAGATAATTGCATGACTTTTTAAAGCTTCTTTAACTGGAAATGCTGAAAACACTTCCCAACCCATCCCCCCCCCCCCCCCCCCCATAAACTATACCTCCCTTGATTCTGTAATGACAGGAATAAAAATACCTGTTTCTCAGACTGGATTATTGCATTAAATGAAATGCCAAAGTCCCTCCTTCCCCCGACTAATTCACAGAAGTACTTACACACGTATAGCTCACACTACCAATAGGAACTTGAGTCTCTCAACAATCTGCTGCTAAAACTCTTTACCTCTTCCCCAATCAAGTTACAGGTAAACTGTTCTAAACGAATAATAAGCTATGCCAAAGGGAAAAAAGTCTTCCTGTGTATAAAGTAGGTTTAATTGCCAAAAACAAAGTTAAACAGGTTGTTTTTTTAACTGGGAATTCTTCAAACATATTAATATAGTGTTCTGCTGTGAGGTCAATTCAGTAGGTCAAGGCCAACATGGAGACAGACAGAGAGAGAGAGAGAGAGAAAGAGAAAGAGAGAGAGAGAGAGAGAGAGAGAGAGAGAGAGAGAGAGAGAGAGAGTCTGTCTGTCTTTTAATGAAAAAGAAGTAAAGCAAAAGTACTGGTATAGTAAGTAGCACATAGTAAGAATGCCTATTTATGAGTAAGTGTACTGGGTCACAAAGTAAGATTTATTCCTATAAATAAGAATTCTCCCGGTTGTGTTTCAACATTTTTGAAATTTTTGAAAGCCACTACACTAATGTGTAATGAGAATTTCCCAGGAAGACATTAGTTCTCTGCATTTCCCCAACCTACTGGTCACAGCACCTGACATACAACTGGGAAACAGTTCAAAGTAGCTTTCCTGGAAGTTGGAGTCTCTCTGAGAACTCTGCCTAATTTCAAAATGTTCTTGCTAATAGGCATATCCAGGCAGACCAAAAAATGATCTTCTAAACCATTCAACCATTTAGAATGTACTGGGACTTAGAATACCATACAAAACAGAACTTTCAGCACTCCCCACAAAAGAGGATTGCTTTTCTTTCATGATATGGTTGCATCATCTCCTTTTTCTATCTTCAACCTTTTCAACGACCCCTTACCTTTCATCCCCCCAACTTAACACACCAGCAAAACTAGGCAGAAAAATGAACACATTCCTTCCAATCAGTTCATCCAGAAAATGGAAATTACCTTGAAAAGAGGCCAAAGAAAAGTGCTTTGATATTTAGCTGTGGATTAGGCATGATCCCAGCATTTAGATATATACAGTCTAATCTCTGAAACCTGCAAGTAAACAACCAAACGAGATTGTGAGTTGCAAGTAAAAGCATCAGGTCAAGATTGTGCATTCTATCTCTAGAGTGACTAGAATCAAGGAGGCCTAAGAAAGACAAAAAATACTTTTTAAATTAATAAATTAGCCACAGCAAGCTGAGAAGAATTTACAGTACATTAAAGTTACAGCATTTCTTTCTCAACAGTTTTTCTTTAGCCACAGTAAACATCTGAGAATTCTTTCTTTGGTAGTGGCTTCAAACAGAATCTGTGGACTTTAAGTAAAACCTCTGATCAATAATTCCTTCCAGCTCTGTTCTCTCAATAAGGAACTGCAGCAACCCTCTATCTGTTAAACCCACTCCACTCTCCTCATCTTACAAAGTCTCTTGCTTTTAAAAAAAAAAAAATCCACATCTCCTCTGGTTGATAAGTAAAATTTATATAATACTGATATTCACCTGACTTGATCTATTAATGTTGAAATCTGAATGCCAAAATATATAATAAAACAGAAGATCCATGTGAAAACCTTTCAGTGTTCATGGACAAGTCCTATGTATCATAAAATAATGAAAGTTCATAAGAATACAATGAGATTGTAAAAGATGAATCGGGGTAAGATATTCTTGCTGGGCTCCCTCCTGAATACTTGTCATGGAAGGGATATGAAATGATGAGTTGAAAAAGCATTTTCAGTTTTAAACGTATGTAAGCCTTCATCTAGATGTACTGGTTTTGAACTAGGTTCAAGGCAGGTAAAGCCTGCTCTCATGATACTCACAGACACCATAAATATTCAGAATATCTCCTAGAGTTCTATGTACCAAACTGTCTCTGACTAACCCAAGACATTAAGAGCCACAGCTTCTAAAGTTAGGACCCTGAACTACATGCATGGTCTTCAGTACAGATCACATACAAGTATTTCTTCATCAGCCTATAAATAATTGACAAATGACTCAAATTATTAAACTGACCATTTAAAATGCTGATATTGTTACCATCAGTTCATCACATAAGTGCCACAAAGATAGTGTGAGTTCATCCATTGTTGCTTGTTCTATTACCTTATTTGCCAACTTTTATCTAAGAATATTAACATATTTGGCTAGGAACAGAGAGGAAATGTTTAGTAAAGACACCAAATTAAGCTCTGGCTTCAGTAAAATGGCATACCACTCATCGATAAAATAATTGACACATTGCTCTAATATGGATAAAACAGAATCACTGTTTCTTACTAGTTTTCATCTGCACATATCTAATAGAAGACAATGCTACAGATAGAAAGACCAGGTGTCAGGGATGGTGCTACTTGAGCCTTTAGAAGGAATCTCAAGCTCTCTTTAGCTCTAGTTGACTTCAAGCTTAGAACTGAAGAGATCCATTTGAGCCACTGAGTGCAGTTTCTTGACATAAGCAAGAATCTATCTGGACACTTTCATATATTCCATATTTGTGAATATCATTACAACCATCATTTCCTAAACTTGAATAACACCAACCATCTCAAAAAAAAAAAAAAAAGGCTGTTTTGTGGACTAAAAAAATACCTCAAAACTTCACTACAATGCTGATGACAGGTAGCTGGGACAACTTACTGGTACCACAGCCTCACTGCCTTGAATCTGTGCTAAGTTGCTAAATATCTTACAAAATAGTAAATTATTAAACTTGTGATAAAGTACCGAATATCTTGAACCTTTGAAGGCATTCGGGAATAGTCAGTACTATAAACGTTAAAACTTTAGGTCTCAAAAGTAAACTGCATCGGAATGGGCTATTATTAACTGGGAAATGAAGGTTCTTTTCTTCCAAATAAGAGAATATAACAAAATCTAAACAAATCAGGTAAGAAGCCAGCTGGCTAAGAAAGTTTGGGAAAAGAATGCCTGTAAACATGATTTAAAAGTCGTAACTTCTCTCAACTTCATAGTTTTTATCTCCATAAGGACATTCAGTATACAGTTTCACAGCCCTGGAGACTCTTAAGTTATGGAGGAGTAGGGGATATAGAATATATCACAATTTATGTGAAAACAGAACCTAGAAAATCTCCTCAGGTTTTTTTTTTTTTTTTTTTTCTTTTTTAAGATGTGGCAGAAAACTCTAAGAGCTCAGCAGTACTGGAGAGAGAAACCACATTTACAAAGGACTAAGGCCACACTGAGAAGAGCCAGAGCGAAGAAAACTAGCTTTCACTTTGTAACTGGTGCATTTGGAAGAGGGAAATGCAAATTATTATCAATTCACATAAAATACAAAGTATTTTTCTTCAGCAAATGTCTTCATTAAGAAGGGCTTCCTTGTTTCTACCCATTTCATTTTACTGTCCAAGGAAACAAGGTAGTTATTTGTCTCTTAAGTGCCTCAATACTAAAATATTTGAAAATTAATTATTCAAGATAGTCCTAGGGCGGCATAGACTAGTGCAGGGTTCTTGGCCTCTTTTCATCATACATTCCTCCTAAAATTTAAAAACAAACAAATAAATAAAAAGCCATCTCTGCCCAGAAAAATGCATTGTGCACCCACATGCAATTTTGTGTTCACCTGCAGGGGAGTTATACGTTATACTCTATAAGTTATACTCTATTCCTTCACATACCAACTGTTGATCAAATGTCTATTACATGCCAATTACTGTGAAGGTGTGAACAAATCTTTACTGGCCTAGGGAAAAAAATACCCCTTAGGAAGCAGGGAGAAGCCCTGGGGTCTTGGACTCACTCAACTAATATAAGATTGGATGACCTTCCTAGGGACATTACCCTTATTTCTGTGTCTCAGTTTCTTCACTTGTTAAATGTCACTACTTGCCTTATCTACTTAATGAATTCATTATGTGAAGGAAAGATGTAAAAAATGAATTCAAATGTCAAAAGAGTTACCTTAACGTAAGGCAGTGCAACTGATCACACATCAGGATGTACTTATAAATTAGTCTCCATGAAATAATTATGATCATGATTGAGACTGAAAATGTGGTACCAGGCACAATGGCTCACGCCTGTAATCCCAACACCAACTGATCACACATCAGGATGTACTCATAAATTAGTTTCCATGAAATAATTATGATCATGACTGAGGTTAAAAATGTGGTACTGGCCGGGTACAATGGCTCACGCCTGTAATCCCAGCACTTTGGGAGGCCGAGGTGGACGGATCACAAGGTCAGGAGTTCGAGACCAGCCTGACCGACATGGTGAAACCCCATCTCTACTAAAAATACAAAAATTAACCAGGCCACCGTGGTGGTGCGTGCCTGTAATCCCAGCTACTCAGGAGGTGGAGGCAGGAGAATCACTTGAACCCAGGAGGCGGAGGTTGAAGTTAGCCAAGATCACGCCATTGCACTCCAGCCTGGGTGACAGAGCAAGACTCCATCTCTTAAAAAAATTTAAAAAAAAGAAAGAAAATGTGGTACTGAGACACAATGGGTCACCCTATACAGATTTCCTCAACATAACTGCTTACACTGCACCTGTTTCTTTTTAGGTTTTTCTTTCCTCTCTTATTTTATTAAGTGTTATGCTGCACAATCACGTAAGAAAAAAAAAATCCATCAGCAAGAGATATACCTTTGCTTAAGTTCCTTGGAGGCCCGGAACACGGACTGCAGGTTGCTGATATCCACCTGGACAATGGTGACCTCAGCAGTGGGGTGAGAGGCCAGCAGAGAAGCACGGACAGCTTCTGCCTTGTTCCTATTCCTGCACGCCAAACACAGATGAAGCTCATCATCTTCCGCCAGCAGCCGCTTGCAGAGGGCCAGGCCAATGCCACTGGGAAGACAATTCAGACACAAGATGTGGGTTATCTGGGATGGCATCAGGTAGAGGCATTTCTCTCTGGTTCAGAAAACTGTGTCAACTTGACCTCCACTGAGAAGCCCAGAAAAACATAAAAGACTCAACAATTATTTAAGAATGGAGGAATCCTCCACTCCAATAGTCACTTGCTTGAGACACAGTCTAGTTTGTGTTTTTCTCATTTTGAAAAACTTCAATGACACAATAACTGGACTGAAAACAAGAGTTGTTCTTTAGTTTTGCTATTACTGGGCTTTATCCTGCCAGTGGTTTTCATTTTGTACTTATTATGCCACTCATGAGAATGATTTAATATATCACCAGTAAGGGCTGAAAAGAGCATCTTATTAGCTGTTTCCTATGTGCATCTTTACTTTGCTGTCTAGGCTCCTCAGGGGCAAGGGCTTTACCACCTATTGGTATCATAAACCCCATAAGGAGCACCAGAAATCTCCGATAAAGGAACAGATGAATCTTTCAGATGAGGCATCAGTAACATGGCAGGATGTACAAATCCCTCTCGACAACTATGATTAAATAATAGAAAAAGAAAGAACTCAACGTGATTATGTAGAAGGTAGGAATACACTAAATATTAGATGAGGACCAAGAAAAGGGAAGCAGGGATGAGTACAGCATTTGGAGACAAAGAACTTCAAAACCAACACTGTAAAACCGCATAGGAGTGGTGACATCAGTCAGATCAGCCTGGCTGATAGCAATGAAAAGTTGGGTAATAATTTCTCTTTCATGACTTAAGCTGATTCCAGGAAAATATATTAATAGTTAAAACCCAAAAAGAGCCTGGAACCATCAGTAATCTGTTAGCACCAACAACAAAGCATCAAAAACAGTTATTTGTCCTCACATGAGAACAGCAGGTATTTAATATATAATTGCACATATCACAATATATGTAAAAGAAACAGACAAAATCAATTCTGACTTATTTCAGTACCTTCCACATAAGAAGCACCAATCAACTGTTGAAGTCACTTGAGAGGGTATGCTACAAAGTTGCCAACTGCAGACACCTACCAAGCTGGCTTAGTTAATATGCATGTGGTTGAATAATTGAAAGTGGATCAATCTTAAATGTTTAACATGTCCTCTATCTTAATCATTTAAAAATGCCAAATGCAACTAGTAGAAAAAATGGTTTGATTGGCTTCATCCTCTACACATTTTTCATGGAAGTGCAAATGACAGGTAAGAGGCTGAGAGACTAAGTGAGCAACCCTGGAATTATTATGAGCTAGTTATTCTGCACCCCAACCATGCCTTCATATGAAAAGGTTAACTTTCTCTGGGTTTCTGAAGAGTGTGTTAGCTCTCTAGCACTGAGCTAAATGGAAGGGGATTGTTTTTTCTCCACAGTCCTAATGCTCATGGGTGTTCAAATTTGTAGGCAAAAGGATTGTACAGACAAAACACCTGTAGTATAAGACATGATCACGTGGTCAGGAGCAAACTGCTGGGCACTGACGATCAATACGAATAGCAGGCAAAGATGGAAAAGGGGCGGAGCCCGCGTGAGTACCCTATTCCCTTGATAACCTCAGGATCATCACTGCCACACTCATCACTTACTGATGTTCTAGTTTTCCTTTTCACTGTCATGTTTAATACCAAGTACCAGTTACTGAGCACCTCAAGAGGCCGGCACGCTCCACACCTGCTGCAGAGACTCCGGGAAACCTAGGCAAAGCCAGGGGCGGGCGCTTCCGGGGTCCGTTCGTGAAAGGTCGCAGATCCCTGCTCTCTCGGACCCCTCATCCGCTGCCACCTCTGCCAACCCAAAGGAGGCCTCACCTGCTCGCGCCGGTAATCAAAACCACCTTTCGCATCTTCGCGCATTCACACTTCCAAGCAGTGAAGCAAACGCCGCCGCTGCTTTCGGAAGTCCTAAAATTTCGGGCAGCAGCCGGGCCCACCTCACCCGTCACCAATCAGAGTACGGCCACGCCCCGCCTCCCGTTGCGTCATCGAGTCTGCGCTGATCCCGCCAATCTCAGTCCGCCAACCGCTCCCTGCCCTCGGAGTCGGCGTCGGGTGAGATAGGCCGAGGGGAGGAGCTGCGTGACGCAAAGCTCGGAGCCATTTCAGGCTCTTCTCGCTCCGCCTCAGCGCAGGTGTCCGTCACTGCCGCGTAGGGCTTATTGGAAGCCGGATCTTTAATCCTGGTGGGCGTGTCACCCGGCCTAGCTCTTAGGAGAGGAGTAACACGCACTGGGTCTGTGCCCTGGCGTCTGAGATTGGCACTTCATTGCAGGAAGGCCTCACGGTATTTGCACCAGTACTCATTTTAGAGAAAAGGTTTGAGTCTAGGAGCCAGAGTTGGGCGACTATTATTTAATTTTCCACTCCTTTTTGGATGTATAGATCCAGGCATTGTGCCACTTCACAGCCCAACTTCTGATCCCAGACCTCCTCCTCTAAAGAAACTTATTTGAGAAAATGAGCACTGATTTTGTTAAGAATTTTATGTAGAATCATGCGTAAATTACCAGTATTCAAAAGTTGGAATGTGGCGTGGAATCAGAATCTCAGAACTTCATTAGCGAAGTACTGAGAATGTGTTGTAACCTCCTATATCAGTGCATCTCAAACTGTGCTGAAGGGCCTGTTTGTGTTTCCAAGCCATCCCAGATGGGTGCTTTTAGAAAATACAGAAAAAAAAAAAAAGAAGTGCTAGAAAAAGAAAAGCAAAAGGCATACAAAACACAAGCCCCGATTTTTTTTAATTAGATTCAAGACTTATAAAAATACTCTGCCAAAATGAGGCAGAATAGGGTTTGGAGGCAGGGTACTTAAGGCCAATTCGTGTTGACTTCCTAGAGCTCAATCTAGGAAAAACAGCAAGGGCTGGGAGTAGGGATTCTGAGACCAATTGGTGCTGGCTTCCCAAAGCTGGATCAAAAGGAAAACACCTGGTTCTGGGGGCTGGAAAACTAGGGCCAATTAACACCAACTTCCTAAAGCTAAAGAAGGAAAAACCCCATCTCCCCACCTCCCAGTAGCAAAGGATCAAAGGCTACTCTCCCTACAACCTTCTGGTCCCAGACCAAACTGAGGGTTGGGCTGCTGTTTTTCAAGGTCCAATAACAAGATGCAGATGAACTGGGGAAGAGGAGAGTTCTTATTTCTGTAACCGGTTACAGGGAGAAGGCCTGGAAATTATCGCCAGACCAACTCAAAATTACAGTTTTTCAGAGCTTATATACTTTCTAAGTGATCTGTCTACCTGTAAGTGTGCATTTATCTAAAGACATAAGTGATTAACTTCTTTTAATCTGTAACTAAGGTCTGAGTCCTGAAAACCTTCCTCTGGAGCCTCAGCAAATTTACTTAACCTAAATGGGTCCAGGTGCTGGGGTGATTACCCTTGTATTTTCTCCTGCTAAGTCATGGAGGTTTGAGGAGTTCCCTTAGACCCCCCAATGAACTTGTTTGTGGAGGCCTGGGGAGTTTCTTCAGACCCACAATAAAACTTGTTTAATCCTAAATGGGGTCCTGTTAAGAATTCCTTCGTTATTTTGTCATGCTTTAAGAGGCCCAGGAAAGGCCTAGGCAAAATTCTTGATGGGCTTTTGTTACATCCCAGCCTTTGTATAAGGGCACTGGCTTTTAATATTTAACCACTTAGTCAGTACTGAAACAGTTGTTAGTGAGACCTGGCCTGCCACACTTCCACCATGTCTCAGATGGAAAGGGAAAGTGCCTTGGATTGGCTGTGGGCCAAGCACTAAGCATGGGCCATGCCATCATCTGCATAGGGCACACATTCACCTCAGCCTTTACTTAGCCATAAACCAAATCCTTCATCCAGGTAAGGGGTAGCCCATGGGGACCTCAAAAGAACTACTTAAAACCCAGAAAACTTTGTAACTTGGCCCTTGAGCCACTTGCTCAGGCCCACTCCCACCTTGTGGAGTGCTGTCTCAGTTTAATAAATCGCTGCTTTTGCCTTCACGGGTTCGTTCCTTTGTTACTTTGTGCATTTTGTCCAACTTTTCGTTCCAAATGCCAAAAACCTGGATGACTCACACTCAAGACCCTGCTTCCAGTGACAAAACTGCTATCAAGGTTTCTAATGCTTACTCTAGGTTTCCATATTTGTAGTAGACTGATAATGGGACCATCACTAGCCCCAGCTCACACGGAATAAAACTGTGTATCATACATCAAACTCTACTGAGCATACTTTAATCTATTTAATGGCCTCTTTCAGTGTTTCAATTATTTATGAACAGCAATGATCCCTAAAACACTGTGATAATTTATATTGGCTTTTGATCCTAGAGGTTTTGATCAATGATACCAACTTACTTAGTAATCATTTATCCTATATCAAGAAAATTAGATTGAAAGAACAAATCTGGTTATGAGAACATTAGATTCCTAAATAAAACTTTTTTTTTCTTTTTTAGACAGAGTCTCGCTCCATCAGCAGGCTGGAGTGTAGTGGTGCGATCTCGGCTCACTGTAACCTCTGCCTCCCGGGTTCAAGTGATTCTCCTGCCTCAGCCTCCCAAGTAACTGGGACTACAGGCACACGCCACCACACTCGGCTAATTTTTGTTTTTTGTTTTTTGTTTTTTCAGTAGAGACAGGGTTTCACCATGTTGGCCAGGCTGGTCTTGAACTCCTGACCTCAAGTGATCTGCCTGCCTCAGCCTCCCAAAGTATTGGGATTACAGGCGTGAGCCACCATGCCCAGCCAATAAAACTTCTTTATCATAGGGGTGGAAATCAGCTCCTGTGTTTATCCCACTTTCAACTGTTCTAAAGAGACCACAATTTAACAATATTTTCTGAAAGTCATGGAGTAAAATTAAGCCTAATTGTGAGAGTCTAGACCCAAAGGCTCATTTTTAAATGTCCTAGAGCTCAGAGGTGATGAGGAATAAGAAGAAGGAGACCAGGTTGTGTGCCTGTCTCATACAAAACTCATTTCTATAAAGAAGGGGGAGGGCCTGGGCTGTGGAGGCTCAGCATTACCGCAGTCTCTGGATGCCCGCCAGCCTAAGACAGATTGAATTAAGTGAAGTCCAGACAACTTCAGAGCAAGACCATCTGTCTCTCCTTTCCTCAAGATTTTCATTCAAGCCAAGTGATGAAACTACTCTCTTCCCTTTTTTCCACTAAAGTTGCTGTTTTCAAGGTGTTGTGACTTTTGAAAGATGGGCTGAACTGCTGGAGGTGCTCAGAGAGACTAGAATAGAGTTCTATTCACAATAGATGCCATTTAATTCTATATTTTACAAATATTTTATCACTCATAGGACACAGCTTGATAACGATCATAATATGTTTTTATTGATGAGTGAATGGATAGGTATTTTTTTTTTTATCATCATAAGTTTATGTTTTGCATGGGCTCATTCTGTTCTCCTGGAAATCAGAAGAACAATATGGTACACAATGATCCCATCCATCCCTGCCAAACCTTGGCCCTGTGATTTATCTACCATGCCCAGTGCTGAGAAACGTGCTCAGAAAACTCAAATATTCTGAGAAACATTCTCAGAAAACTAAAAGTATAAACTTATTCTCAGAGACCAGGTAAGAAATTGGTTGTTTGGGGTCGTTTCATTCTAATCTCTAATATAATGACTGAGTCTAAATTCTGGTTTTCATAGTTTTTTTTTTCTTTTTTTTTTCGGGGGGGTGGTTTGTGCATGTGCGGACAGTCTGAAACAGACTATATTGGGATTTAAAAAGGATTTCTGTGTATCAAACAAGACAACTCTGTAACCATAACAATAAGGGATTGCCAGTTAATTCTGGACTGGATTCCCCAGAACTGGACTAATTAACGTGAGGACATAAAATCCCAGTGTTTCGTATGTTTAGATATGTCAGAGACCAAGGTGCTTTCCTCCCAATAAACAGTCAACTCATATGTTAGAGGCCTATTTAAATAATCCTTTGTTGGACAGCCCCACAAACAGGTGTCCACACTACATACACCCCAGCTCCGACCCATGCCCCATCACTTCCCCAGGAATGATGTAAGACTGTCAAGAGCAAAGGTTACAAAGCCCAGAGCTGGCACTGTTTATACAGAAAGGGAGATCCATCAGTAGCATGACTCTTTAATCATTGTTATTTACAATTTATCATCTGACAGACGTACAGAGAATAAATAAAGAAAAGAAAATATACAATTGGTATCACGTTTCTTTTTCTAATACAGAGAAATTTTACGTATTCTATTTGGAACATCTATGATAGTTTTAAGCAGAAATTAAATCCATTTTATCTTTACCCCTTGACAAGACACATCACCTTCCAAAGCCTGCAGAAGGGGGCCCAGATGTTTCCTCATCACAGGAAGAGTGCACCACATGGCTGCAGAAACTCAGTCCTCAGAAAAAGTTACCAGGCAACAGGGTAGAAGAATAGGATATCATGAATAATAAAGGATATATAATGGATAGGCTAGATTACAGACTCTTGGTGTGTTTGCAGGAAGCCTCTTTTCAAGAAAACAGTTTTTCACTGAAAGTGATTACCTTACCCCATTGTGCTTCCTTTGAGTCTCTGCAAATTCTTCCTTCATGTGTTCATTGTAATTGTCGATGAGCACAGCTAGCTTGGGACTCAGATTATTTTCCTGCAAGGCACCTGACATTGTTGCATGTTGTTGACAAGGTGTCTGCAGGAGAAACTAGATAGCTTGTTTCAAATAGACTGGGGATAAGGCCAGAATAAATAAATTTTGAATTGGTGTCCTGTGGAGAACTACCTTTCATTGCTGTCTAAATGCCTCAAAAAATTAAGCAGCTCTATAGATCAATTTCTCCATCAAAAAGTATACAGAGAATGCACTTCACCAGGTACGAGTCTGAATATTTTTTTCTCTTTCCTCATTTTGAAAATAAACTCTCCATGTTACAGCAAAAAAATTCTCCCTACATTCACTCTAGTTAACTGGATGACAAGTTTTTGTTTCCATCTTAAATTCATTCAAAAAAACAACATTCAGCAAATATTTATCAAGTGCTCACAATGACCTAGGAACTTAATAAGACACACATTGTTATAAAATTGTGACCCCTTAAATAGAGGACTTAAAAATGTCAATCGTAAAACTCAAAACTGTAATCCACAAAACTGGAGTTTCAACTTCTCCACAGGTTGCTGCTGTGTTTGCAATTAATTTTGTTTAATGTGGTTGTTATTCCATTTAATGACAGCTATTTAGGCAAATAAAACCTCTCTACCACTCTGAAAATAGTATTTTATCAAACATTAGGAGTCTATACCATTGCATTCTCTTCTCTCCACAAGCTATTCCCAGTGCCATTAACTAAGTGCCAACTAACTCTTGACTGAAATACTGGTTTACTCTAAACTCCTCATTTTGTCCCCAGTACTAATCCTACTCACTGTAGAAGCTTCAGGAAATATCTAGAATATCCTGCTATACCTGGTTTTCTAGGCAACAAGCTATGAGCAGTTCTTACTGTCTTTTGTGTTGCCTAATATTTCTAAGTTTGTCTTGGATTGTTTCAGATGCCAAACAGCCTAACTAATCAGAAAATTTAGAAGCAATGTAGGCAGGGTACTGCTCATGATAAAGGAACACATTAATGTGTTATAGTCTCTCTAATACTGTAGAATTTTATCCAGATAGTGTCTTTCCTGTTGTATCCAAGCAAGGCCAGATTACAAATCAGCAAGAATTAAAAGTATCCAGCAACTAAATGAATATGTGTGGAAAAACTGGTGAAATTGAAAAAAGGTCTGTGGTTTAGTTAATAGCATTATGCCAATGTTAATTTTCTGGTTCTGAAAATGGACTAAGTGAAATGTTATAAATGGGGAAAACTGGATCTAGGGTAAGGCCACTTTACTATTTTTGTAACATCTTGTGAGCTTTAAGTTCTTTCAAAATAACAAGTTTTTTTAAAGGATACACCAACTCAACAATTCTTCACTGCTCTTTGGCACAAGTAATGCAGCTAATTGTAGCAGAAAACTCAAAATGCCAGAAATTAAATCACCATTAACCACTCCAGTCTCTTTCCCTCTAAGTTCAGTTCTTGACAACTTATTACCAAGTGAAAAAAACATTAATCTGTTTTTATTAAAATGTTACATTTCTATTAAGAAGATTTTCCCAGCAAAAATAAGGATCTGCATCTTCCTGGAGATGCAGAAACATTAGGGACCTACCATATGCACTGCCAGAGGACAGAAGTCTTACTGAAAAGGAAAGATTAGGATAGCAAATTCCAGGTCTATAAATTCAACTTACAATCAAAGACTTAGTAGCCATATATTGCAATTTTCTTTTCTTTCTTTTCTTTTCTTTTCTTTTCTTTCTTTTCTTTCTTTCTTTCTTTCTTTCTTTCTTTCTTTCTTTCTTTCTTTCTTTCTTTCTTTCTTTCTGTAGTTTTGGGCAAAACATTCACTGTTCTGTTTTAGTATACTTCCTTGGAACATCTTCATCTCTTTCTGTCTTGCAGACACTCCTCTTCTTCTATTCTCCTTTACTCAAAACATATGGTTTAGACCCACATCATGGCTTTGTTGTGGGAAGCCTGGATGGGACTAGAAAAACACATGTTTCCAACATGGTGCATATCTGTTTGTGCAGATATCAGATAAGATTTAATCTTGTCTAACTTATGCGTATTGTTTTGATGTTTGCCTGTGGTTATTCTGGGCACAGCAATGGTGGGCATTATTGAAAATGAACTTTTTTGACAGAGGAAAGATAATAGAACATGAAGATTTATGAACTACCATAAGCTCCCCATCTCTGGGTCTTCATTTCCAAAGCAGCACTTGGGAAACCAAGCCCCGTTCAGGCAAATAGTTGATTACTTCTCACCAGCACTTGAAATGGTCCAGAATACACCAGATGCTCAAACTACCTTCCTCACACACTTCTGAAATGAAAAGGTCATTCCCTGATGATTGCTATATCTTTTCCAAAAGGAACTTCCCCTTTCTTAAAATTCTGAAAAATTCCTTTCCATTTCATACATTGAACCTGACTTCATTTCTTAATAAATATTTTTATCCTCTCTATCATCCAGAATTTCTTCTTTCTCCATTCATATTTATCTTTTACTTCAAGATACTTACTTTCCTATTCCCTTTCAAAACTCCTTCTTGTTTCAAAATGGATTCCCAATGGCTCCAGCTACTCCTGTTTCTACTTGCTCAACTTGATCTTTCCCTGTGTCTTTCCTGTGCACTCTCCGTTGCCCCTTTTTTGTAGCCTCCTTTCTAGCCCTGACCTTCCCCCCATTCAGTCATATGCACATTCGCGTATCCTTTTTTTTTTCTCCCCACTTGCATACAATCCTCTTCTTTATACAGTCTTAATATACTTGCAAGTGATCTTTCCACAACATTAAAATCACATTTTGCTCCTCAGGCACCGCTTTGCACTTTAGATCTTATCTGGTCACATATGTGTCTGGAAAGTACATCAAGTTTTAGATAGACCTAACTATCAGCACATTAGCCAACAAGAACATAAATTTAGATCTGGCAATCCCAAAACACAATCTGCACACAAAATAATTCACATATATCATGAAGAAGATAACTTACTGCAAACGTAATAAGGCCCCACAGTCTCTGATCATTTTTTTCGATCTCCTTCTCCAAATAAGTCCTAGCTTTGTTCCTCTAATTCAAATTTGAACTACTTACTATGTAGTTCAAATATGAACTACTTAGTTGAATTCTACACACTAGGCCCTCACCATGTATTCTGTTGGGTTGCTTGGATGTGTGCTACTAAACTCTAAAGGCATGACTAAGCTAGAAACTAAACCTGTGTCTGTAATACAAAGGTCTCAGTGCCAGAAGTTGAAGCCTTCCTCATCCCAGAAAAGGATACAGATATGTATTACATGATAATATACATTGAGCAGCCATCTGAAACAGATTACTTCTATGACTCAAGGCTGGGAAAACTCAGACACTGTAAGTTCATTTTAAATATGATTTTAAAAAAATATGGAAACATAGAATAACCCAGTGAACTGGGGCAGAATCATAAAAAAGAATAAGTGAAGAGATTTTAGGCAAAGGAAGATAAAATAATATTATTTTCTCTTGCTCCATAAGAAGTCATGGCATGGTCTGGATGTAGCCCTACCAGAGGCATGTGGATAAAGAAGAATAGGCTGCAGGTCCTGAGTTCAAGTCCCTTTAATTCTAATGAAGCTTAGAATACTTATTTTGAAAGCGGAGTGTGGCAGGTCCCAAGGTATCTAGCCCTGCACATATCAAATATGCTAATGTATTTGGAAACACCTGGTAAACCTAAGGCACAATACAAATGGCATGTGTTACTATACTACCATTACAGTGATTTCGTCCATGATCTCTTTTGCTGGTTACAATTTTCAGAGCAAGAAATGACCAGATTACTAAATCCATCAGTTATAGATTCAATTATCCAGTTAGTACTGGACGTATCAGAACCAGCAGGGACCTCAAAACTATTTAATCTAATTTCCCCATCCTATAAATAAGAAAACAAAATGCAGAAAGACCAAGTGATTTAGCCAAGATGACACACTTAGTGTGAAGCAGAAAGAGGGTTAAAGCTCCCAAATCAATGTTCTCTTGACTCTCAAACCAATGATTTCTCCAAAGTTAGTCCTGGGATAGACTAAAGCCCAAAGGCATAGGACAACTACAGGGAAAGGACATTTGCTAGGATCAGAATATGACCTGAAAAATGGACCCTGCGGACTTGGGATTTATGCTTATGCTGTGGCCTGGAGCAATGCTGAAGGCTGAATGGGGAAATACACATGTTCCTGAGAAACTGTTATAGAAGGTAAACTGGTGAGGGCAACAGAGGCAGACCCAAGGGGTCAAGGCCATTCCTTCTCAGCTTGGGAAGCTGATTTGTAATGTCTTCTTGTTTCTCCTCAATGGAAATTAAGAGTTCCTTTTTCTAGCTTCCCACTAAATCTGAAGATTTGTGGAGTGTGAAAGCTCAGAATCTGCTCTGAGCAGATTCCTTCTTGACAGTGGCTCTGTTTCCATGAATTCTGAAGCCACAGCTTTGAGATTTCTTTTCTGCGGGTCACACCATCTCAGAGGCAAGAGCGTGTATACTCAGCAGTAGCAATAGATGCTCATCCTGTGCCTCTCTAGAATCAAGGACTCTCGGAGTTAGAAAGACATTAAACATTGTCTTACACCACCATCTACTTTGTGTTTCAAAACCTCCATTTTCTTTGACAAGAGACTCCCCGCCTCTGGTAGCAGCCCATTTATCCTTGTATGTTCTGAGTGCTTTGTTTTCCCCAACAAGGAATGGAAATCAGTCTCCCTGTAACTTCTCCACATTAGTCCTAGGACGACTTTTTTTGGGGACACTCAGAACAGTCCTATTCCCTCTTGGACAAGGCCAGTAGGTATTTATGCCTGAGAAATTCAGCCCCAAGCCCAAAGATGCTACAGAGGCTTCATCCTTGAAAACGCTAGAAGATTTGGACAAGATGAACTCAAGAGTCTACCATCAAGATATCAAAACATCAGCCTTTACTGATTAAAAACTCAGATTCTCACTAAAACACACACATGAAAATATCTGAACAAGACAAAGAAAACAACCCTCTTACAAAATCACAAATAAATGATGGATACCATATCTGTTATGTGTCCTCCATTGACCTCCTTTCCTATGTCCATTATCTATTCATGAATCCTTCCATCCATGAGGTACTTTTTTTCTCTAAATGACAATCCCCCTTCATACACTCTTGCAGCAAACATTCTTTCCTATCTATATCCCCAGTTGTTTCATATATGAACTTCAACCCTGACCCCTGTCTATGAATGAGCAGAACACCCATTTCAAGAAATTGGGGGGTTTCAAGAATATATCATTCACTTTGACAAGAGAGAGAAATGCAAACAGTGAGACATGTCCAGAGGCCAAATTAGAAAACCACCTGTGATTAGTTGCTGAATTCTGAGTCCTCAGATTCTCCACATCTATCAAGTGTTTTCCCTAAATTTAATCTCATGTTTCCCAAGACATTAGTATTCTTCAAGTTTTTCTTTCTGAAGATTCTTTTAGAGTGACATGGAAAAGTATTGTAGAATCTGCACATTTATAAGCACAAGCATAGTTAACCTTTATAAATTATCTGAATTTTCTAGCCTTTGTTATCCAACATTTTGGTATATCAAGTAAGATTTTCTTTTACTAGATTGTATCTGCCCTAGGCTTTTTTTTTTTTAAGTTCTTTAATGTAAAAAAAAAAAAAAAATGTATATATGAGTCAGGAGTAGGGAGTGGGGGTGACCAGGAACAGACAGCAAAGCAAACAAGCCTCTGTCTCTCAGGTTCATTAAATGACCAGATGGAGTGGCATAGGCGTGGGTGAGTGGTAGGTCTTGTAGGGAGGACCTGAGCCGTAGGAATGTGGCCAGGCACTGACAGCATCACTCGTCGCCTTGTTGAAGGAGCAGAAGGTGGATTTCTTGGAATGAGGGACGGTTCTTCGTATCTCTTCTCCAGCAGCTAAGCATCAGCTTATACACAGAGTCAGGACAAATGGCTGGTTGAGGGAGGTAAGTCTTTGGGAAAAAAATAAAGGAAAACAAAAGTGAAAGAGACAGAGAATATTACAAAGAAGGGGGAAAGGGAAGTATATTTGCATCATGGTTTGATCTGCCCCCTGCCCACTTTCTCGAACTTGATAACTGAAATGGGTGTGGTATCCATTTTTCCTATTCATGAAAGTTTTGAATCATATCAGCCCTTTTCTAAGCTATTCCCTTTGTCTTCTGGAGTTCTCTGGAGCAGAAATTTTTGATGGGCCATTATGTGGTCCCTACTTTCATGCAAAAGATGAAACAACCAAAAAGAGACCAAATCTTCCATTTATGACCAACCCATATTGAAGTCCATCTTGGCTGAGCCAATCATGGCAGAGGCAGAAAACAACATTTTTCTTTGGCCCACTCACTTATCTCACGTACTTGGGAGTAAATTTGCCCTTTACTGTGGTAAGAAGGCAAATTGCCTCATAACCAAGATAGCTAATTTAGACTCCCTGCTGCCAAAATATTTACAGAGTATAAAGAGACAATTAAAATCTTAGACCCCTCTCTTATTTTTAATATGCATAATGTATTATCTCTTGTCAATCCCTTATCTATCTTTGACTTACTTGGATCTATTCAAGCCACAGAAGATCCACTTTTTATTGTCTGCAAGATCCTTCCCCAGCTATTATCCTTTTCCTGGTAAAGATGCCATAATCCAAGGGTATGCTGTTGCCAGGCCCCTTTGGGGAGGTGCAGTGCTGTAGTGACTGGCAAGCTTTAAATTCCATACGTCACAGGAATTTTTAATCTAAGTCACCCCAAAAAAAGTTTGGAGTATCTTGGCTAGGAATTGAGACTCCTGGGGAGCTTGGGAAACTATCTTTCCCTGAGTCTTGAGATGTCACAATACTCTTGGATTGTCCAAGAGATGCCTTCCAAAAGCAACAAGTTCAGGATATATCTGCCCATTTTCAGACATCCAAGTCTAGAAGCATTGCTAGATAGTCAAAACCAACCCCAATTCTTATACTAAGCTATATTTTAATGAATGCTAATACATCCCTTTTACACTTATATTTATTGACCCAGAAGAAAACCACATGATCTAGATCAAGAAATAGATAAAACATGAGAGACAGGACTGTATTTCCTGCTACGTTTGAGTTGGGGAGAAACCTGACATGACCCTTTATGCCCTCCAACAGTCAATGAGTTGACACATAGATAAAGCAGAGTGTATGGATGCCTGGGGAGGATACTGGTCTTTCACATCATTTGGATAGTTAGTGACAAAGACTATCATCCACATAGTCTGTCTTCCATCTCAGCCCACTCCTGCTAAGTCAGGACTTTCCATTCTCCATCCTTCAAGGTACACAGGTCCACATCCATTCATCCCCAACAGTTCTTACCTGCCTCCCTTGGTCTCGGAAGAATTCTCCAGTATTCTCAATAACCTGTTCATCTGACAGCTGGGAATAGGGCTGTTCCTGGCAAAAGGTGAAAGTCTCCCACAAAGTAACCCCAAAGGCCCACACATCACTTGCCGTAGTGAACTTGCCCTATTCAAGTAAAGAAAAGAATGGGAAATCAGAATAACCTGTGCACAACAATACCTGGTTAAATTTCATGATCTGGAGCTATACCCCTTCCCCTACCACAGACAAGGAATTCTGAAAATGCCAAGATGTGCATGGAGTATTTAGAAACAGCCCATTCTCTCATTCTCATGATCTCACCTTGGTTTTGTTTCTTTGTGATCCAAGAGCTGAAAAAAAATGCAGCCATAAGCTATCTGACTCTGCAACTGAGTGTTAGGTCAACCTTTCAACTCTAGGGTAGCCTTGGGAAAATGCTCCTGAGAAAGGCAAAATCTGAATGGGAAGTCAATGGTTTTTATGTTAGAGATAGAGGACTCTAGTTTAAGTGCCTGCAGTGAATCCAGGACTCTCATTTACCAGTTCAGTTATCATCACAGTGTTGAAAGATAGACTTTAACAAGTGACAGCAATGAGATTCAGGTGTAAATAGCATGCATTGACTACTCACATTTTCTACTCAATACAGACAACAACATTGTGAAGTTGATGATATTATTTATTTTTTAATTTTTTTTTTCTTTGAGAAATGGGGTCTTATTATGTTGCCTAGCCTGGAGTGCAATGGCCAGTCACATGTTTGATCTCACTACTGATGAATACGGGAGTTTTGACCTCCTCTGTTTCTGATCTGGGTTGGCTCATCCCTCTTTAGGCAACCTGGCGGTCCACTGCTCCTAGGGGTGACCATATTAATGCCAAACTCGGTGAGGACACCCAATAGGTATAGCGCAGCGCAGCCCAGATTTTCATCCTCCTGTCTCAGCCTCCTGAGTAGCTGGGACTACAGGTACACACCACCATGCCAGTTATCCTTATTTTTTAGATCAGAAAAATGAAACAGGAGCGGTTTCCCAGATTCTCCTGGTTAATAAGGCCATTAGTAGTGGAAAAACCAGATTTGAACCAAGGTCCTCTGAATGTCAGTCTAATATATTGTTTTCAACACCACATAATACCTTTAGGGAGAGTAATGCCTAACTATCCCATTAGAAATGGGTAAAATATAGCAATTCACATACATAGGTGAAAAAGATCTTTATAAGGATTTATGTAAACTGGTGTACATCACAGTATCATTCATAATAGCAGGAAATTGGAAAGTACTTAAATATCAAATTATAGAGGCATTATTAAGTTATAGGATATATCTACACAATGGAATATTATGCAGATAATAAAATGTTAAGTTAAAAATAGAGATAGAGGCCGGGCGCGGTGGCTCAAGCCTATAATCCCAGCACTTTGGGAGGCCGAGACGGGCGGATCACGAGGTCAGGAGATCGAGACCATCCTGGCCAACACGGCGAAACCCCGTGTCTACTAAAAAATACCAAAAAAACTAGCCGGGCGAGGTGGCGGGCGCCTGTAGTCCCAGCTACTCGGGAGGCTGAGGCAGGAGAATGGTGTGAACCCGGGAGGCGGAGCTTGCAGTGAGCTGAGATCTGGCCACTGCACTCCAGCCTGGGCGACAGAGCGAGACTCCGTCTCCAAAAACAAACAAACAAACAAAAAATAGAGATAGAGAATTGTATGGCATAGTGTCATCCCAATTATGTAATATAAATTACATGTACGTACATATGTATATAAATGCATGCATAGAAAAAAATTGCATGCATAGAAACAACATATGTATAGAAAAAAGTCCTCAAAGAAAATATACCAAAGTACTGATAGTGGTTATCTTGGTGAGTGGAAGGGAATAACTATACATTTTTTATTTCAAAATTAATTTATAAATCCTATAACAATATCAGCAGGAAATAAGCAGATTAATCACAAATGAACAAAACCAAATTGGTCTCAGACTTTTTTGTACAATGTTACACAAGAAAAAAGGTAAAATAACATGTACATGGCATTGTAGGAAGTAAAAGTCTAATGAGTCTATAAATCAGCTGAGTGGTTGTAAAATCAACAATAAAAAGTCTCAGGTATGCATGGACAGAAAATATACCTCTAAGAGAGATATTACTCACTTATGGTACGGAATATCAAGAATCGAATAAAAATTAAACAGCAAAGAATGATGAACTTAAAAAGAACATCTTGAAAAGTACTGAAATACAATTATAGGAATTAGTCTATATAATTATAAGAACCATGCTTATGAAACTAATGGAGAAGAAAATATTTTGTATAGGTAACATTTCTTTAAATGATAAGGTTTTTAATACTTTAAGTTAAGAACAATCACTAGGTAGAAATAACAAAGAGAAACAAAGATAATAAATCTCTTATACTTTTTAACTTGTCTCCCTAAATTTTTATAAGTGTGTTAATTTTTTAGCAGAAATAGGCAAGCATTAAATAATAAGAGTTAGTACACAAAGAAAATAATTTCAAATCAGAGAAAATATTAGTCTATTGAGTTTGCCTTCTGCTGTCTCAGGTTTGTCTCCACGTGTCATGCGTGCCAGCCCACAAGCCAGTTGTTAGACAGGGCTTTAAAATGCTGAGAACTCACCAGCAAGATACTTTCCCAAGACATCCAGCGGATAGGGAGCACTGCCCGGCCCTGGATCCGGTAATAGTCACCACTGTACAGGTTCCTGCTCATTCCAAAGTCAGCTATCTTGATTGTGTAGTTCTTACCCACTAAGCAATTTCGTGTGGCCAGATCTCGGTGAACGAAATTAAGAGAGGAAAGGTACTTCATGCCAGAGGCAATTTGGGTAGCCATAAACTTCAGATTGGTGTAACTGAGGAAATAGACAAGAAGACAGAAGGTAGCCTATGGAAACAGGAAGATGTGAAAGGTACACATTCTAAAATTTGTATCAACAAACTAGGGTTGAAAGCTCAACATTCTTTTTCTACTCTTGATGAATCCCTTGCATTCCCCCAAAGGGCAGCTGCTCCATTATTCCCTGCACACTAACTTCCCTCACCATCCCAGAACAGTGATACACTTTAAGGCTCACTGCTCCCTACTTTCAGATCCCAGGTTGCTCTCATCACCACAGGGAGAAGACGGAAGACCTGGCTTGTTTACCTGACAGTGGGTACATTGCTGGAGGAAGAATTAGGGGGCTCATGGCGAGAAAGAAACTGATTGAGATCTCCATTCTCCATGTATTCAGTGATCATGCAGAGAGGGTCATCAGTGATACACACAGCTAATAGATGGATGATGTTTGGGTCCTTGAGCCGAGACATGATCTTTATCTCCTTAAGAAAATCATTCCTTGGGAGGATACAGACATAGATAAACTCAGGAGTTGCCAGAGTCAGAATCAAGAGGGAGAAGAATGCACACCAAGGTCTATTCCTAGACATTATACCAAATCTTGTTTCACTTTGGATAACTTTTGAGAGGACAGAGAAATTGACACCTGGATCTGTCTCATTCTATTCCTCCTGAAATATCATGAACCCTTATTCAATTGTAATGTTTTTGAGAACGAGATCCATGATCTATTCACATTTCTATCCCTCACATCTAACAAAATCCCTGCCACACAGAAAGTGATTAATATTTGCTGAATCAAAAATAGGCTGCTAAAAACCACTCTACAAAGTAAAACGTTTCACTGAAAATCGTATCTTAAGTGCATGAGGATATTTACCTTTTTTTTTTTTTTTTTTAAAGCCATGGAGTCACTATATTACTAAAGTGAAGAAACTTTGTATGATGTGAACAACCATACTTTGGCTTACCTGATTACTCTTTATTTTCTCATACTGACTTTTCTTAATGCAGTATGAACCATCAGTCAGTTGCAACATGTATTTAGTAGCCTGTCCAAAACAGAGCTCTTTAAAGGCTGTGGTAGTCATGTCAAAAGAAGTATTCATTTGACCAAGACTAATAATTGTTTGAGTACATGGCGGCAGACATCCTTGGGTCATAAAGTAGCAAGATTTTGTTAGTGAGGCCTCTAGCCCACATTCCCAAAACTATTGGAGCAGATGAGTTATAAGCCCTCCAAGAGTTTTCTAGGAATCCTAGACTGGAAGTCATACTATGTCAATATAAACCACTGGAATCAATGCAGTCCTGATGCAACACCTCCCCTCTTTCATTCCCCCTTCCGTCTCAAACCAGGGGTTTTCATGGCTTGGGAGGGTTCACAGGCCGTCCATCACTGCTAAGGACACAGGTGGAGGAATGGCAAACTTCACCAATCGGAACAATGGAGAAAGGCTTTGTCATATCCTATGTCCTGTGGTTTTGTTTTGTTTTGTTTCCCCTCATGCCACTTTCTCCAGTTGTGTGCTAAGATTAATATAAGAAATACTTAATCTCTCTATGAGACCCAGAGAATGTCACTTTTTATTCTTAACAGTATCTTAAAGTTTGAAATTATCAGTTAAATTTCTAAAGCCTCCAGTTTCATTTCCTCACCTTTCTCTCTTCTTTATCTTACATCCTGTCCATTGCAAGACTTTTAATGAAGTCTATCACTATTCTTGGAATTTATGATAATTTGGAAAATAAGAATAGTAAACTTTTTTTTCACTTATGAATATCAGTGAGACAAATCAAGACAACATGAATAGGAAAAATGTATAGGTTATCCAGGTATGGAGATTTCTCTGGGACACATACAACCAGCTTTCAACCAGCTTGTCTCTCTGGGTGAGGATAAACTCACCATTATTGTAATGGAAAGGCTGTCAGACAATGGAGTGTGGCTGGAAACTGCAATTTATGTAGAAAAAGATCCAAGAGATTATTAGCCAGTTTGGAAAACTGCTAGAGAACCGTGGATCCTTTTGCTTTGAGGTTCATAGATAATTTTCCAAATAGAGGTAGCTTCTCATTTTGAGGGTTGCTGGAGATAGAAGAAAAGGAGCATAAAAGAGAAAAAAGGGATGAGAAAATAAATAGAAATGTGAAAAAAGGAGACTGGAAGAGGCTTAGCAAGAAAGTCATGTGTGATTGTGAAGACTTTGTCAAGAGGAGGTAATGACATGCAGGAGTATGTCTGCATGTAAAGACCAAAGAAGTACACATCTAGACAGTTGTATATGTTGGGAAGTACAGTGCTTGTGCACAGGGGGTTAGGAAGTAAATATGTGGCAAGTACAATGGAAAATGTACCTTTGTGTTTGAAAGAGGTGGAGAAAGAGATGAGGACTGCTGACCCCATCAAAGTAAGAAAAAGGATAACAGTGGAAATGGGAGGCAGCTCACTGACCTCCCCATCTCAAAAGAAAAAATTGCTCAGAAGTATCCAGGAGTATTCCTGGTCCTAAAGATGAAATACATAAAGGAAAATTCAAAATGTAGACCACAGACCTGGCATTCTTGTTGGCATCTGCTCGGAGCATTTTCACAGCCACCAGGACAGGCTGGTTGGCACTGACATCTAGGGCAAAATCTTTGTCTTTGAATTTTTCCATTCCCTCCACTTCACAGAGATGAACCTAGACAAAAGTCATCTAGTCTCAGCATCATCATTTCTCCTGAAGATGTCTCAGTACTCTTGCTGGGCATTTCCTGGAGATAAACTAACTCTTACAACTCAGGCAAAATGATCAAAAGACCAATAAGAAGATATGTGTAACATATCTATGATTCAAATAACTGATAAGATTAAAAACAATGGTAAAGTACCCAACTAATATGCTACTTTCCTGCCTTAGAAATACACATTGATTGGAACATTAAGTGAATGAATGAATCAGTAACAATATTATATTACAGCATAGCCCAATATAAAATGTCTTTTATTACAAATGCTTGAACTTTGATTCATGAGTCACTGGATCATGTAAAACATAAGGCAGTTTCCTTAGCATAGGGTTTAGCATTATAAGCAACTCCTGTGTGTTAGCAACAGTATAACAGATACGGGTTTTCAACCCAGGGGACATAATGAGTACATGTCACACCATGAACAGATAACATGGGCCCCTCCACCTCTTGCAACACCAGACCTATCCAAGGAGAGAACATGAGATCCACACTGAAAACCAATAACACATCTTAGGAAACCAAGTGTTTTATTTGGAGTTTAGATGGCAGTGGTGAAGAGTTCCTATTACAATTCAAAACATTGCTTTGAGCTCCCAGAAGGTTCATGTGACTGATGCAAGAGTGAAAAGTTTAATAATGCATGCATCACTCTGAGGGCAAATGAAAAGAGTACTCCTCCTTATCTTGGTTGGTGATTCACTCCCTAGTGGCTGATTCTGGGACCAAAGGCAGGGGCGAGGTTGTTTTTGACCATTTTACATATAACTCTCATTAAAGGGGAAAAAAACAAAGTGGCTATTGAGAAGCAGAATGTTCCTGGACAGTTCATAAAAGATGATCACATCTTGTGGATCCCACCCTGCATAATCTATTGTAAACATTTTTGAAAATATTGAATGTGTTTCAAGATATCTGAAGTCTAGTGACTTGCCTGCCTTAAAAACTCCTGTATAGAAATCAGAAGTCCCAGGAACTCCACAGCTATTTGACAAAGATGAGGTTGATCCAATACTAGAATCCAGAGGACAACGCAAGGAGAGACAAGTGGAAGAGACACTCTGTTGTGAATCCACCTCTGGAAGGGACTGTTTGTTCTACTGACCATTTTTATCCAACCACCTCCTTCGAGCTCTACGGGACTGGAGGCCCCACTCAAAGAATCAACTCACCTCCCCAAACTGTCCTTCTCCCAGCTTCTCTTTGAAAGTTAAGAGTTTCCTGGGGAACTCCTCCACAGCCACATCTTTTCCTGAGAGCAGGTCCATGGTGACGGCAGGCACTGAGTATGTGTTGCCTCCTGTCACTCCCTGGAGGTTCACTATGTCAGCCTCTGCATAGTGGGGCACCCCCTCAGGGCCACTGGGCTGGACTGGCTTCACAACACCGCTGCAGCCTGAGAAAACAAGGGCAACGAGCCTCATTCCATGGAGCGTCTTTGGAGATCTCTTCAGGAAGCTACTCTGAGAGGAGGGCTAAAACATGCCCCTGTGAAAGCCTAACCTGCTTCATGACATTCTTACTTGGAAAATGATTTTGCTTCCTCTAAAGATTTTCTTGTGGCCTTCAGAATGTAGAACACAATTTTATTTCTCATTCTTTTCCTCATAATACATGACCATTTACAAATTCTGTGGCTAAACTTGTGGAATTGTGTGGTGAAGCTATAGGAAGGCTCATGGTATATCAGGGTGGGAATATTAAAGGTTGAAGGTTTAATAATGTATTTCCTTAATTTTAAGACACTGTTATTGACTTAAAAACTGATTTTAGGTATAAAAAACTTTCAGATTAAAGACATATGATCCAGTTTAAGACATATTCTAACTTAAAAAAAAAAAAACATTAAAATACGAGGTGGGGAATGTTTTAAACTTAGGAAATAGGTAAATTACTTCCATTCACCGTAAGAAATAAATCAGTTTATATCCTTAGTTCTTGCTGCCTCTGTGAAATTACTTGAATTTAGCATGCTCTTTCATGTCTTCTGTCCATTGAATAATAAAATAGATGCAAGTTTCCTTTTATCCTTTGAAAAGACCCCTTCAGGCTCTTTCCTGTAAAATCTTATGCTCTTGAATATAGTGCTGTCTGCTTCTACATTCAGCTCAGGCCTAGCTCCTCTCTCCTCAACACTACAAGGTATTTTCTACTGGCTTGAGTCCCTCAGGTAGATGACCTTATAGAAAAGTTGCTCTGAGCTAAAGAGGTGACTCCAGCTTCCCTTCTGATATGACTCTGCATCATTTTTTAAAAGACATTGAAATTTGAATGAACTGACGCTACTTACTATTTTACCTGTTTTATTTCAATGCTTTTATTGAGGAAAGGGGAGAAATATTTTACTCTCATAATAAAATCTCCTATTACTCTAATAAATGTTTACCAAAGAGAAATTACCAAAAAATAGATAACTCAAGTAGTTATTTATTTTAGTTATTTAAATGGCTATACCACTGGGAATTTTGGAATGTCTTTAGCTTCATTTATTTATTTATTTCTCCAGGTGAAAATCTAGTCCTGCTTTTACCCACTCATGAAATTTGGTGTTGGATGAGTACTCTATCTGGGCTTTCTCACTTTCCCGACATGTGAAATGAGGTTAGACTGGTTGGACTGTTTAGGTTCTTGTGGTGTTAACACCTAATTCACATGTTTTATTTTTTTTTCTTTATTTTCTGGTATGTGGGTCCCTCCACACATCTTATATTCAGTAGCAAGGGAGAGGTGCTCAAATTGGGCCAGGAGCAGCTGCAGACCAAATCTAGAAAGAGAATGTGGACTTCTCAGGAGGTTAGTAGAGACTAAAAATAGATACAGTTAACTGGGAGCAGGTGCATCATTCCTACCTGAGGCTTGTCGAAGTTTCTCCCTGGATTCCCTGCCCACCACATCATCCTCACCTGACTCCTCCTCCCCTGGAGCAAATTCTGGGAGTTTTCGTATCAGCCTGGATGGCTCCTGGTAGTCAGGGCGAAGGGGAAAGATGCGATCGTAAGTCGAGTTGGACTCTTGTTCACTAGGTGATGAGGAGCGGTTATTGTTGAACATGCTAGAATCACTTGGCAGGGAAAGGCTGACTGTCATTTCATCATCCAGCATCCTCCGAGAAGCCTGGAAGAGATTAACAAGGAGAAAGACACGCTGGCACAAAAAAGATGATCAATTCCTCCCCTTCTTAAACTCAACTCTTCCACGCAAATGAAATAACTCTTTACTACTGTTTAACCCCAGTGACACTGGACATGCTAGGGATGCAGTCTGGGTCCACAAATGCCTGTGTTGTAGAAACTTAGAATAATCCTTCATTTCTTCAAGGTAGAATTTGATCTTCTAATTTCTATGATGTGCTTTCTGAAACACTTAAAAAAAAAAAAAAAGGATTATCTCCTTGATGCTATAAGAACCTATCGGTAGCCAAATATCTCAATCTTATAGAGTTTTCTATGTTTTATTAAATGATGGGTTTTGCTGGCTTACCCTTTCACTGCTTGGTTTTGGAATAGACATAAATTTTTTATTAACCTAATAAATGCGCTATAACATGATGAATCAATAGTTCTAATTGATCATTCTGACACCCTAAATTAGGATAATACCCACCACTGACCCACATTTTCACTAACCAAAAATAAAATGGCTACAATATGGGACAGGAAAGCTCTAGGTGTCCAGAGATAACAATGTGACTTACACCTAATAAGGGAGGGAGAACAACAAAGCAACCACTTCTGTGGTATCTTATCTAATATAACCTGCCTGCTCCATCAAAAGGAAAATGCCAACATTTGCATGCATGTGACTATTTGAGTTTAAGCATGTAAAATGCTCCACTCCAACAAACACAGCTTGGGTGCTCAATGGCGAAACTTAGATGTGCACTTTTCCACTAGACTGAAAGGTCTTTTGTTGCAGTAATATCCCCAGTACAAGCATGAAGCTCAGAACGAAGTAGGTACTCAATATATGTGGGTTGAATCTCTCAAAGAGGGAATGTTGAGGACACCATCAAAAGTATCCTACAAACAATGCTACAGTCTACAGCTATGTTAAGTAATGTTCTTAGAATGTATGTGTGTACTCAATGATTTTCCACATAAAATTTTGTTCCCAGGAAGAAATCCTGGGTGTCATTCCAGAGCACCTTGAGTCATCTTACTCAGGGTGTACAGGGGTAGAATTTCTCAGAGGACCAAGTTAAATATTCAAGGGAAAAATGTTTGCTCTACCTTTTACCTGGAGATTCCAACATTTCTCTCTTAGCCCATGAAGATATTCCAACAGGCCTCAGAATAAAGACTCAGAGAAGTGTGGTAAATTGTGGCTCACATAAAGAGAAAAAGAGCTCATAGAGTAGAGAACACAGACCCTCCTCCCTTGGCTAAAATGTGGTCCTAACAGACTATTTAAGAAGGTTACATATCCTCTTCAAGCAGTTCAATGAATCTTCAGGTCACCACCACCCTCACTCTGGAATACCTCATTAAACACTAGTGTGTTCCAGCATTCTACAGGAGGAAAAGTTTTGATATTTGCCTCATTCATGCCTTGAGACACCTCATGACAGTGAGTGAGTCTCTGTGGATTCTGTCTTTCAGTCTTCTGTGGCTATTTGTGAATTGAAAGCTTTAAGTGTTTTCAGACTGGTAGACATACTTGTGGGAAGCAAGGAGACCTCTTACATGAAATATTCCTGCCTAAAAACCTTAAAACAAACATCAACCATCTCAGGAACCTGAGGGTGGCACAGGTCAGAAGGAATTGCAGGCTACTCATCAGGATTGCTCCTCCTTACCCTTGATTTGAGCCATTTTTCTCCCATCCTACATCTAGAACGCTCTGGAGACTCAAGCCCATTCTCATGGTGCCCTTTCCTCTCGTCTAGAATAGAGATCCCACACAGGCATTGTTCTCCTCTGAGACCCCACCCCCAAACACTGAAATCAATCAGGATTTCTCCTTCTTCCTGTTCCCTGCCCTCAGGAGGCAGTTCAAAGCCCCACAGCTCAGAGTTTCTGTGGCCTCTCCTAGTACATGTCTAATGAGAGGAACTCATTGACCAGGAGAGGTGACCATGGCCAAACGTAGAAATACTTAATCATCAGCAGGCCCCAAAAGAATAGACACTAAGCAGCAGTGAGTTGCTATTTGGTCCAAGAAAGCAAGACAAGTCATAGATATTCCATCTTTGATGAAATGAATGTAGAAAGAAATAAATGCATTTCAATATTAACAATTGGAAAAAGCATGGAAGACTGGACACCAGTTGTATGACCTTAAGCACATCATATTTTCTCATCAGAAAAATAGTTAAATATAACAATACCTATGAGTTATTACTCAATGAGGTGTATATAAAATTATGCATGAGGAAAAAGTCTGCTTCTTGTAAAGTGTTAGACAATATAAAAAGTTATTCAGATCAGTTGGCATAGACAGAGTCTGAAAAGGGACTCAGAGGGATACATAATCATAACCTTCAAGTGAACAAAAGTAGAAATAGAGTAGTGAGAAACTTGACTTGAACATTCATGAAGCTGGATGTTTTTCTACACACACACACACACACACACACACACACACACACACACACACCCCAAACAGACAAGCAAAGTGAAAAAGATGAGAAGGAACTTCAACAGCATTATCAGAAATTTCAGCTTGGCATTAGGAGAGAGTAATTCTTAAATTTGAATGTGCATCAGAAGCACTTGTTAATTTTTTTTTTTAAGTATGGATGCCTGGCCTCCACCCAAAATCCAGTGAATCAGAATCTTCAAGGAAAATGCCTGAGTTGAGATTCAATGTATTAAGAAGAGTTTTCTGCATTTTCAAGGAACGTTAGGGAGGTTCCAACATCTCCACTCTAAAAATGAGAAAATAGACTTAGCTAATTCTTTTCTGGCTTCATTCCTATGTTTCTTGGTAGCCTCAATTAACTCCAACCATTAATAAATGTTTGCAATGTGCCTTTTACTCCTGGGGCAACAGTGGCTTAAGAAAGAAAGGATCAGTTTCTTGTATCATGGCCGTTCTGCACCTCCTCACCTTCTCCAGCATTTTCTGCCAGAACTGCCTCCAGAGGATGATGACAATGATGGCCAGGAGGATAAAGATGATGGCCACCAAGCAGCCAATCAGGATCCGAGTGTTGCTGTCATCAATTTTAAGCATTGGATCTGTGACCAGGGAGAGAAGGCAGAGAATACAATTATCTCACAGGTCAAGTAAAAGTATGAGGGACTGGACTGGAAACATGGAGGTAGACCCTGTTCCTTGAAGATAATTATGGAAGATGCCACCTTAATACTTCTGTTTATTCTTGTTCTTGCTACAGGTTTTTTTTTTTTTTCTTGCTACTGTTTTATTACTTTTTTTTTTTTTTTCCTGAGACAGAGTCTTGTTCTGTCCCTCAATATAGAGTGCAATGGCATGATGTCGGCTCACTGCAACCTCTCCCTCCCAGGTTCAAGTAATTCTCCTACCTCAGCCTCCTGAGTAGCTGGGATTACAGGCATGTGCCACCATGCCCGGCTAATTTTTGTATCTTTAGTAGAGATGGGGTTCTCCATGTTGGCCAGGCTAGTCTCGAACTCCTGACCTTGTGATCTGCCTACCTCTGCCTCCCAAAGTGCTGGGATTACAGGTGTGAGTCAGCATGCCCATCCTGTTTTATTACTTTGTTCACAAATCCTACTTCCCTCTTCCATAAGACAGTAGTCTCCCTCTCCCCGTGTGTCAGACAGAATAATGGTGAGTTTTTCTATTCTTCCCAAAATTTTGTCTCTGTATTATTATGGCCTGAGTCTATGGTCCCTTAATCACACTTCATGAAAAACAGTTAAAGAATCAGTTTCATTCTCTGCATTCTCTGAGACATGCCAAGGGAACTGAAAGTCCTTTTTGGACACATGCAATCACACATGTTTCCCACATAGCTGGCTAGTGTCACCAATGACTGCCTAAAGCAAGGCATATATGGCATATTTATCTCCAATTAGAGAGATCAACATTTTGTTTCTTAGATTTTCACCCCTTCTTAGAAATACCCACTATGGGTCTGACCTAGGAATGTCCCTTTCCCTGTTTCTGACCCCAAATTTCCAAACTTTCATGGAGAAATTGGGACAACTCCAGACTCTGCCTCAGCTGAAGAAGCACATGAATCAGTAGTGAAGAGAGTATATTTGGATCCATAACTTGGAGGTAGACAGTCCTACCTTTCCAGGGCTACTCTTCATCCAAAGCCAACTGGTGTAAAGCCTCCCACACAGCCAGGGCTTTGCAACTCTCTACCCTTCTTCATCCTCCAGGAAGTCCCTTCAACTTAATTTGTATAATTAGGAATCACACATACCATAGGTTGTGGGTGTCATAGGAGAGGTGGGCAGGGCTCCAGAGTTGTTGTACATTGCAGCATCTGTTATAAAACAAGGGTGAGTCAGAGCCAGGGAAAAGACAGATAGCTGTGTTTTCTCTGAAGTCATATTGTGACCTAGCACATTATGAAATCAATTTAGTGAGTTGCCATCAGTCTTTTAAAAAGATAAAATCATAAATACATCAAATAAAAGTATCACCATTTATCTAAATAGTAAGAGCAAGTTTTCCTTTGTAAAATTTTTGTTTCACATATTACATACTAGATGCTATGGTACAAAAAAGTTTAAGAAACAGTGATTCAACAGGCTGTGACCATGCATTATTATAAAGCATAAGAAGCAGGACCCAAATTCAGTGAAAATATAGACATAATATAGCAGGTAAATGGGCAAGGGATAGACATAGTGTTAAGATGCTTTTTCCTTCAAGGAAATTAGATTGTTTATAAAAGAGTCTCCACTATGCCTCATCGGTCTAGGCCTTCAATTTATGAATTAAGGCTTCATCTTTATAGATATTTACTGACATTGGAGGGTCCTCTACTGTGATTTTGCAGCTTCTGAGACTAAACCACAAAAGTGTATTTGCCAGATTGATGTTGGCAGCTTTGCCTGAATTTTTCCCTCTGATTTGTCTAATCAAGGGGGTCAAGAATTAGAATACGTATTTCCTTTCTAAGAGATATTTCTTCCAACTATCCTAATTTTTCTTCTTCTTAACATTATTATATAAATAAGGAGGTATCTGGCCTCTGCATGTGCTTTATGAGTTCGGTTATCAGGCTCCAGTGAAAACTAATATTATTATGCATTGGATTTAAAGCTCAAGAGACCCCAGGAGTCAAAAATCATGCTTCATAGCTATAATTAGCTGTAATAAGTGTACTGATTACTATGCCAGGAGAATCCCTGAGGATGGGTAGTAATCTATTTGTCCCCCAGTTAACACTTACAGTATAAGTGGCATTGACTTTGAGTGTCTTGATTTCTACTCTCAGTATTCAGATAAAACAATCAATCAACTTAAAACAATCAATCAACTTACTGTTAGATTGAATCATTAGCACAGAAGGCATTTAAACATCAAACCTGTTTTCCTAAAACTATGCTCTATTTTCTTATCAGTACATCTTAATAAGCAAACCATCTTGAATTTTTTCCCCCCCTTAAAAATCAAATCTGAAAGGATGGGTTCTTCTGGTTTATATTTTTGTTTTTTGTTTTTTAGTTTTTTTTTTTTTGTTTTTGTTTTAACAGGGTCTCACTCTGTCACCCAGGCTGGAGTGCAGTGGTGCGATCTCGACCCACTGCAAGCTCTGCCTCTGGGACTCAGGTGATCCTCTCACCTCAGCCTCCCAAGTAGCTGGGACTACAGGCATGTGCCACCACACCCAGCTAATTTTTGTGTTTTTTAAAGAGATAGGGTTTCGCCATGTTACCCAGGCTAGTCTTAAACTCTTGATAATAAGCAATCCTCCTGTCTTGGCCTCCCAAAGTGTGGTTTATCTTTAAATTAGTCTCTTCCTCTCTCTTGTGTTATTTTACACCTGGACTTTTCTTCCAGGCCCAGTACAAATCTTATTTCTTTGATGCTGTCTATGACAAACACACTCTAGTGCCTCTCTCCTTCTGACCATTTATTGTTCATATTGCTTTGGACATTTCTTTCTTTTTTTTTCTTTTTTTTAGCATTGTGTGTCTTTTGTCTCCCCATCTAAAATTTAATAGTGTGAACAATATTCTAAACACCTTTTAACTTTTCAAGATTTGGCACAGTTTCTGGTACCAGTAAGTTAAATCACTATTTGCTGCTGTTACTGTCCAATCAAAAGTAGTGTTTACAGTTTAAAACGAATCCCTAAAAGTTGAAACAAATGGAATACAATGAACCTAACTGTATATCACATTGGTGACACAACTACATACAGAAAAAAATTATCCCACTGTTACCCTAACTGTATACCACATTGGTGATATAACTATATACAGAAAAGAATTATACCACTGTTACCCAACTGACCTTAGAACACAATGCTTTGACTGTACATTCTTAGTAGGATATATTCTCAGGACAAAGAAAAGAGAATTGCTACGAAATCTTAATGCTCAATAGTTATGTTGCTAGTAATAATATTGGTATTGCTTTTTGAATAACAGGATGAAGAAAATGCTGTTAACATTGTTAGGAAACATGATATTTAGCATAAATAATAGAGATGAAAGTATAAAATCAAGTTTAAATAAAAACCTTATCTTTAATTTCAATTGGAAATAACAATGTAAACTCATAATCTTTTTCTTTTTAAATATACATATTGAATTGCTTTCTTCCACCAAAAAATTCAAGAAACAATGACAACCTATTAGCAATGAACATTCCTACTGCCCAGTTTGTGTTCTCTAAATACCATTTTCTACTAAAAGGAATCAAGATTTCTTGAAGAAATGGTTGATTCCATGTTGGGCACAGTGCATGTTCAAAATGAGCTTGAAATACCTTGTTCTTTCAGAAAACAAGAAAGATATCAAAGGCTTCCAGGGTCAGATCCAAAGAGCAAAGAGCCCCCTTAAAAATGCAAACTCTAGGCTGGGTGCAGTGGCTCACACCTGTAATCCCAGCACTTTGGGAGGCTTATGCGGGCAGATCGTCTGAGGTCAGGAGTTTGAGACCAGCCTGGACAGCATGGTGAAACCCTGTCTTTACTAAAAATACAAAAAAAAAGAAAGAAAGAAAGAAAAAAAAAAAGCCAGGCATGGGGGCAGGTGCCTGTAAGCCCAGCTATTCGGGAAGCCGAGGCGGGAGAATCACTTGAACCTGGGAGGCAGAGGTTGCAATGAGCCAAGATCGTGCCATTGTACTCCATCCTGGACAACAGAGCAAGATTTTGTCTCAGGAAAAAAAAAAAAAAAAAAAAAAAGCAAACTCTAGTCAAAGACAGCACAACTTGAGTATTAAAAAGAATAATGGCTGGGCACGGTGGCTCACACCTGTAATCCCAGCACTTTGGGAGGCCAAGGCAGGCATATCATTTGAGTTCAGGAGTTCAAGGCCAGCCTGGCCAACATGGTGAAACCCTATCTCTACTAAAAATAGAAAAACTAGCCAGGTACAGTGGCAGGCACCTGTAAGCCCAGCTACTTGGGAGGTTGAGGCAGAAGAATTACTCAAACCCAGGAGGCAGGGGTTGCAGTGAGCCGAGATCACACCACCTGCATTCCAGCCTGGGTGACAGGGAGGGACACTGTCTAAAAAAAAAACAAAAACAAAAACAAAAAAACAAAAAAAAAAACCTTGCAATCGATTAAACATTAAATTGATAAAAAGCAATTAGTTTATAATTATACCAAAAAAATAAGAGTAAAAAACAAACTTCATTAGACATTATTGAGGGTTGCTAGGGTATCAAGTCATTACTCTGAAAATTAATAATTAAAGGGGAAAATAAGTCACATATCCTGGTCTTTCAATGTGATTTCTGAGTAAACTGGTGCATGAAGAATAATTATTCTATTTGGAAGAAATTCAGCTAAGAAATGCAGAAAAAAAGTAAAGAATTAGAAAATCATCATTTAGCAACCCCTAGTGAAATAAGTAATTCAGACAGTGGTTATTAATGGAGGATAAAACTTAAGGAAAAAGTTCATGAGGAACCAGAAATCAATCTTAGTATCATAAAAAGTGAGAGGATCTAGCCTTATATCCCCATGATGAAGTTCAGCATAAAATATACAACACTATCCATAAAGAATTCTTGACAACCATCAGTGGCAGACTGGATTAAGAAAATGTGGCACATATACACCATAGAATACTATGCAGCCATAAAAAAGGATGAGTTTGTGTCCTTTGTAGGGACATGGATGCAGCTGGAAACCATCATTCTTAGCAAACTATCACAAGAACAGAAAACCAAACACCGCATGTTCTCACTCATAGGTGGGAACTGAACACTGAGATCACTTGGACTTGGGAAGGGGAACATCACACACCGGGGCCTATCATGGGGAGGGGGGAGGGGGGAGGGATTGCATTGGGAGTTATACCTGATGTAAATGATGAGTTGATGGGTGCTGACGAGTTGATGGGTGCAGCACACCAACATGGCACAAGTATACATATGTAACAAACCTGCATGTTATGCACATGTACCCTAGAACTTAAAGTATAATAATAAAATAAAAATAAAAATAATAAAAAAACAACTTTCTGATAATAAAGAAATAGGATGGCAAAGTAAAAAAAAAAAAAAGAATTCTTGACAAAAATAGATATTGAACTTCAATCAAATTGACCTGTAGATGTAAGCACCCAGTCATTAGGAATGACAGAGAACAGAAGCTCAAGTAAAATGACACCACAGAAAGCCATCAGCCAAGCCAGAATCCTTAAAAAAAAAAAAAAAAAAGGGAGGAATTGTTTTAGATTAAAAGAGATACAGGGCAAATAGAATAAAGAAGCACACCAAGAGATCCTTATTTTGATCCTTATTTGGTAACGCCAACTGAATTAAGACATTGTTGGACAGTTAGTCATACTTGAATATGGACAGGATATTGGGTTGTATTTAGAAATTATTTAATAATAAGGGTTGTTAGATGTTATCATGGCATTATAGCTACGAAAATGACACTATTTTCTTAGATGCAGTCAAATTATTTGCTAATGAAATCAAATAGTATCTCACATTTGCTTTAAAATGCTACAGCCAAAAGGAAGGAATAGGTGAAACAAATATGGCAAAATATCAATGATTAGTAAAGCTGAGTGACGGGTGGTTTATTGTTCTCTTTACTTTTGTGCATATTTAGAGATTTTCATTTAAATATCTCAGTAGTGCTTAGGTGTGCTTTTTCTTAACAGCACACTTATTAACTGCCTTAAATTATATAAAATTTTTAACACACTATACTCTCATTTAAAAAAATTCTTTCTAAGAAGAGTTACATGAATATTTTATTCATTTCCATTCTCATCCTGTCCCCTCCACAATTAAAACTAGTCACACAAAGGATTCACTGCATCCAGCAATGAGAAGCTGCCTGTACCATCCCACTCCTCTCAGAGACCTGCTAATGAGAACTTCTGGCCATGTGCATTCCTCCTTCATCACCTTGCTCCCACTTCCCAAAGAGGACCTCAGCTCCCTACCTGATTGGAAGGTGATCTCACTGAACATCATCCAGGTATCAGCAAAATGGTATTGACACTTGATGGCACTGGCCATTCGGTGGTGAAGAGGCACTGTGACAAACCGAGCACTGGGGTTGACGTCATCCAGGACAAGGGGGAAGGAAATGGCATTAGGTTCCCACTCACTGGCTTCAGAGCGGAAGTAGCACTGTACCTCCTTAAAGATCTTCACACCTTTAGCAAACATGTTGTTGCAGTGGACCTGGTAGAGAAAGAGGCATGTGAGTGACAGGTTGGCCCTGCTAAGGTGCATGGAGACAGTGCCAGCCAACTCCATAAGTCAAGACCTGCTGTTTCTGCGAGCACCACCCTTGGTAAATAGTTGGTGTTCTGCAGTCTTCTGGATTTTTCCTTCTAGGAACCTCACAGCAGCAGTGATAGTTGGTCAGGCATTATAAAACCTGGGCTGCAACCCTGGTCACCTGTATGCACTGTCTGTCCTTGGCCACCTCACTTCATGTTGCTGGACTGCAGTTTTCTCATCTGTTAAATGATGACTGCACCGGCATCTTCTCAGGCCCTTCCTTGCCTTGAATTCTCTTGAGTCTATAATCCTCTCAACCACAGTTGCCATCTACCCTGATTCGAGCTATTCTGAACTGAGGTAAGAGGATGACTGCCATCCTACTTCCTCCTAGGTATGTTTCAGAGCCAGTCTACTTTTCAACAGGGCTAGGTGAGAAACCTGAAATAATATACAATCCAAAACAATTTCATCTTTTTTTTTTTTTTTAGAAATCTCATTTCTAAACGAGAATACACATATTCACACATATGTGTATGTGTATATATAGATGTGTGTGTGTGTGTGTGTATACATATATATATATATATATATATATAGCAACTGTGCTGGTAAAAAGATAATCTTTGACCCTAAAAATTTGGTTTTTTTTCATCTGATATTAAAAGAAATTAAAACATTTTTACGGGTCTTAAAAATCTGTGGGCCCTGGACACTGTGTTATTGTGTTTTATGGATGTGTCACCTTTAGTGTTAGAACAAAAAAAAAAAGAGAGAGAGAGAGAGCTCACTGACCTATTCTAACTCCCTTACACACAAATGGAGAACCACACCCTTAGAGGTGAAGTGACTGGTGAAATGCATTTAGCTAGTTAGTAACAGAATATGTCATTGAACCGTCATCAGCCTAGACTTCTTTCTAGCATGCCTTTTCTCTACCACACTATGATTTGTGCCTCCTTAAAGAAATTCCACCACATCCAACTCCACTGACCTTCATGGTGGTGAAATTCCTGATGCGGTCAAATTCAAACATGATCTCAATGTAGCCATTGGTGGCACTCTCGTTCCGCCAGCCCACATAGTCATAGCCGGGCCACACGTGGTATTCATGGGTCTGGGTGAAATCGTCCAGGCCAGACACACCATCAGTCAATTGGCCTAGCCCTTCTGTCATGCTGCTCAGGCCAGGAGAAGAGGAGGAAAAGAAGAGAGAAATCTGAGTTAATCACATATTCATGGAAGAGCTTTTACCCAGCATCTTCACTCCAGATTTTGTATGAGCTTATTATCTTGAAATTGAAGGACTGTAAATAATCACATTTGTATTACAGTATTGACTCATTTGTCTTGCATCAATGGAGAATTAAGAATTTCATATTAGTAATTTTTATAAAATATTTGATGCTTACCCCTTTAGTAGTAAAACCTTTAAACAATATCTTATTTAATATGAAAAGCTTTCCATAATTTATTGTACCTTGCCTATTCTTATATAATGAATATGTCTTCACATAATGACTCAATATTATCAAATGCATTTGACAAGTTAATTCACTAAGTAAATGATGAAATGCATAAATGCATAGAATAAATACTAGCATACATAGTAGCACTTGCCCCATTATCAAATAAATGTTTCCAGAGCTTGGTGCTGACTCTCCTTTAACTACATGCTGTCATTGTTCAGTGAATCAATTTCAGAGAATCCAGTCACACTCTCTTCTATTCCACATATCCAACAACCTAATTTGATATTAAATGAAAGGGAGAAAATATCAGCTCCAAATTTAAACAATAATTTCTATTTAATTTTAATTAAATTTATAGGATACTAGACCCAGGAAGTAAGATGCATGGATGTCATGAGAATCCCAGGTATTGGATTTAGTTTTGTGTTCTAGCTTAGCAGTCTTCTTTGACTTCTGAGTAAGAGGCTCTGTTTTAAAGGCTAAGTTTGCCAGAAGCCTGACTGCTGGATGGAATGTAACTGCATATATACTTATTTGACTACTTGGAGAACACAAAGAGGCTCCTTTCTTCTTTTTATGGAGGCATAGAGCAAGAACCCATCATGTGGAACTTGTCTTTCCTCAAGCTGTGCATCTCAAGTTCTGGCAGATATGACACAAATCTCCCAAATGATGAGATTGGGATACTCACCCTCAAGCAATAATGGGTGTGACCCTTGAGGTTTATAGCCAGACCAATAATTTGTAAAATTTGTAAATCGCAAAAAATAAAAAATACTAAGGGTGATTATGCCAGCCTTTTAAAATATATTTAATCATTGAAAATGTATGGTAAATTATAAAATTTGACTGGCCTTATCCACAGTGACCAGAGCCTGGATCTCCCTTCCAAGGTTTTGCCATCTTTTTCTTCTCTCTACAGATCAGAAAGCTAGGAGAACATAAGTTTACTTGCAATAAATATATTCCCCATTATCCCCAGAAAAATAAATCCCATGGAAGTCTTATGAAAAGCAACAGAAATTAAAAGGAATACCTGTTCAGTTCCCCTTTAGTCAAAATTAAATCAAGTGAAGAAGGGATAGGAAAATAAGTTTTCAATGTTTATATACTTTAGAATTATTAAAATCACCAGTAAGCATATATTACTCTTGAAATTGTTTTAAATTTAAAAAGTAACTTTTGCTAATATGACTATTTCCTGAGACTCTGATGTCATCTCTCTTCACTCAGCCACCTCCACCAGATATTTTATTACCTCAATTATTAAATGAAGCCATTATGTCTACATTTTTGTAATTTTTTTAATCTTTCCCTTGGAGTTCAGAGCCATAATTCTGACTACCTTCCTTATTTCTCTACTGAATGTCTGGTCAATCTCATAGACTTAAACCTCAAACTAAATCCATCATCGTACCCTACCGAACTAAATCTTTCCCCTTGGTTTCCCTTTTCCATAAATTACACTTCTCTTTCATAGTAGTGGAAAGTGCTTGGTGCATGGTAAGCACTCAAAATATATTTGTTGAATAAATACATGTCATCTCCATTGTTTCAGTCACTTAGACTGTCAAGCTTCATGTGACCCTTTTTCTCACCCTGCTGTCTTGCCCCATACATCCAATCAGATTGCAAATGTCCCCTAAATGAATATATTTTCCTCATTCCCCACAGTCACGGTTATGGCCTTGGTCATTAATTCTTTTTACTTGGCAGAACTCAGAGTTTTAAAATGTTCCTCATCACCTCCTCATTCCATTCCAATCTAACCTTTGCATGCTGCTTGATTAATCTGTCTAAACCACACCTCCAATCATATCCTTCCTCAGCTTTAAAAATCTTCAATGACTCATTACATTAATGATAATGTTTATGAAGAACAAGAACAGCAACTTCTCCTCTTCCTCCTCCTCCACTTCTTGCTCATTTTGGCTTTGACTTCAGGTTCCTTCAAGACATGGCATAATCTGCTTTGTTTTGCTTCTCCTGTACTACTTTGCCACATAAATATGGCCCATCATTAAATAAACTGTTGAATTTTCCCAGACAGTCCCCTAAACTTTATAACCATAATTCTTTTTTCCTCATGCTATTCCCTCTGCCTAAAATTCCATTTCAAGAATCTGTATCTGTGAAAGTAGTACCCATTCTTTGGGACCCAATTCAGATTTCATCGATTCTACCATATCTTTGCAGTCCTTCAGTCAGAAAAATGATAATCAGATAACAACTTATATGTGTACAGCAATTTATCTTATGAAATGCTTTTCACACACATTTTAATCCCTTAAGCCTTGTAGCAAAGAGAAGTAACTTTTATTATATAAAATCCAGATGTTTTCATCCCCATTTTTGTGCTTTCCTACTATAGTTTACTTTTTCCTTTGAACCCCAGAGCAATCATAGGCTATCTCTTGCTCATATACTCAAATCATAATAACTTATATTTTGTTTTAGCCCCTACTCCAAATTGTGAGCTCTTTAAAGGTAGGGTCAATGACTTCATTACCTTTGAATACCTAACATGCCTGGCCAAATTCCTTGTATATAGTAACAGTTGACTAACAAAGGCTTATTAAATTAAACTGAATTCGGTTGATCTCTGATTTCCTCTATGCCTTGAATACATGCCTGTTGGGGTGTGACTGAGCAAAATTATGCCAAGACAGTTTAAGCAAAAAGGAAAGAACAGTGACTAAGAAGATGGAAAGGAAGTGACTAGGAGTAGAAGAGTGGATGAATCAGGCCTTCACCCAGGGGATGGCAGCTAGAGAGCAATAGTTCATTCTCCACACCTAAGCCAATGGAAGGCTGTAAGTCCACACTCCCTTCCTGAGATTCACTAGTATCTCCTTCTCTCAAGCCCTGTCAACCTCCATCATCTGATCTGGTCTTCACTATGAACTGACTTCTCTCCCAGGCTCACTTTGCAGATACAGACCAAGCTTAGAGAGAAAAGTGTTAGTGTGCAATGGCAAGGCTTGAAGGCTTGAAGTGGAATGGGATAGGTGGGAGCATCCCGTACCCAGCCCTAAGTTCCTACTGTATCTGGTCACACTTCTTTGCCATGGCACTCCATCCATGCACTTCAGGCTTATCCATTGTTCCATTCTGTTCTTCTGAGCTCCAGCTTCTACTATAGCCAGGCCAGTCTTGCCTTCAGCCCTGCTTCCTTTCTTCTGCTACCTCCTACCTACCTTTCTCTGCTATAATTCTCATCTTAGCCTAGAACTTTCCTTGTCTATTGTAAGCCTTACTAGTCCGCTTTTTACAATTTTCAAAGCATTTATATGTATAAGGTCTATTCTTTCTGACTTCTTGACTTACCCAGAGTATTATACTTAGTACTTCAGTTCTCTGGCCCTTTGTTTCCATAAGTAGGCCAATATTTGTGTCAGACTACACGTCCTGTTTTGAGGGTCAAAAATATGGCTATTACACTTAGAGCCATCACAAACTCTAGCCCTTGCTTTGTATAATTGATTGTTTTCTGGGTAATTAACTTGTCTTCCCAAACTGGGCTTTTAGTTCCCTAGAAATAAAGGTCATATATATTCCTTAATCTAAATTATCTCCAAATGCCTTGTACAGGAACTAAATAAATACTGATTGGTTGATTGATTATTGATTCCAAGACATGATAAAATATTATTCTTTCCTAGTGGCTAATTTCCCATTTTAATAATCAAAGTTTCCCAGGATTTACCTGTATCCAACAGCTCCATCATAGACAGAATCATTCAGATAAATGATGGAACCTCCAGGGAGTACAAACTGCTGCCCAGCTGGAGCATTGTAAGACACCAAGCCATCTGCAAAGGAAACACAGCCAAGTGAGTGCCTACTGCTCAGGCCCATTACCCCAGGGAACTATGTGAGTTTCAAGGGTATAAGCTTGCACAGAGTGTCCAGGAGGACTCCATCTGGGCACCCAGGGAGGACTTCGGAGGAGCGCCCCTCAGTGGCAGTCGACATAATGACTCTGAATGCATGACTCGGTGTGGGGGCACCAAGCCCTGGGTTAATGAGCAATGCTTCTGTCTCTATTCTTCCCAAGAAGGAATCACCATTCCAGGAGTTACTGATCCCATCCCTTTCTGATTTGATTTTCCCAGAAGTTGGAGTTTTTAATAAAGTCTATAGGCTTCCTGGGCTAGTGACCTACCTAGCCAGACACAGCCGTAAAGCTCCACCCTCATGCACACATTCATGGAGTGGTCGGTGACTGGAATGAACCGGACAAATCTGGCCACAATGGGTGGCTCCAAGTCCTTTAGGAAAATGTCATAGGGGTTACTATTTCCATCCAGCACCTGAGGAGAGAGAAGAGAACGAATGAAGAGGTGATATTAAATCATGCTCACTTTTCTTCACCCTGCCACATTTTCAATGGGCTCTCTCTTCTTAATTCGAGGAGCAGAATGCATCTACTCCACTTTCCCTACAGCCTTGATATTCCTTCCCTGCCTCCTTCACCCTGGGTCACACATTTACAAGGGCATGCCTAATCCCTGGACAGACATACCCACACAGACAACCTGTACCCTTCTTCTCCTAGCCTAAGTCTAAACACAGTCTTGGACATCCCAAGGTCTGGATGTCTCTGCTTCCTACCTGTTTCCCATGACGGTTCCGCCAAGAGATCCAGCGAGTGCCATCCCGACTGTAATTGATCTTGTACATGGGGGCAAACTCGATGCCGTGACCCCCTGCATGGCGCCCCTGGGTCCCCACAAGAGTGATAAAATGGAGGGTGTGCAAGTCAATCTGCAGGAACTCCTTCAGGTCATCAGGTTCCACTGGAATCTCAGGGCACCAGGCTCCATCTCCTTCTTCTGAGTCCAGCCTTGAGAGATGAGGGTTGGAGAGAGAGGGAGCAACCAAGAAACCACAGAGCTGTTTACTGGTTCACAGGCAAGCAGCTGCCCTGTACTGAGGGGAGAGAGCAGGCTGCCCAGTCCTTATAAACATTTTGGGTTCTTGCCACAGTTTTCACTGCCACCACAATACCTATTTGTGGTCAGATCCCTTTCCCTGGAGTACCATGAGACCCTGAGAGACAGTCCCCACCAGTGAGCTGAGGCCTTCAGATCACACATAGCCTTCATTCCCCATCCTGATTTAGAGGTCTAAAGAGAAATAAAACTCTTCCTACCCTCTGTTCCCCCATGAGTCATTTCATATCTCCCTTCCCTCTTTCAAACTCAGCCTAACAAAGCTAGCCACCCTTTGCTTGGACATCAAATTATGGCAATAAGGAGGAGGGATAGTAGGGTCTCCAGTGTGGGTTATGCAATGCTGCAGGATGGGCACAGCAGACCAGCAAGGAGCCATAGACACACATGGGGAGGATGAGGGGGAAGAGCATGTCAAGGAAGTAGTAAATAATCTGGTTTCATTTCATTACCTCCAGGCTGAGCTACCATGGACCAAAATTGTGAAATTATTATAAAGTTTACTTTGAGAACCTCCTACCACTTTCCCTTTCCCCTGGAATGCTCCCTTTTCCCACAGATATTACCCATTCATTTGTTGCTCCCTTCCAGTTCCACCAAACATCACCCTAGTCTTTCATACACTAAGAAATTATGGGGAAGTTTCATCAGGATTGCTTTTCTTATGGGTAATTCCATTTTAATAAAATCAATACTTCACACCAAAAGAATAAGATGCCAGGAAGAGTATTGGGTCCAACCAGTAGAGCAGTAGGGAGTTTATTGATGTACAAGACCCCTGAAATCAATCACCCCAGGAAACTGCCACACTCTGTTGGCAAAGGTAACCCTTCTATGTGAGACATCCTTGAGAGAGGGGGAGAACTTGTTGGAGGCCCTAGTGTCTTGATGCTTTGCAGTAAGTGATGCTTTGCAGTGAGTGATGTTTCATAGACCCACTGAGAAGAGGAGTGGACGCTAACTCCCAGTGTCCTACATAATCTGCACCTTCCCATAGCTGCCACTGTTGCCTGCTTCCTGCAGCAGCTCAAAATGAGAAAGTCAGGGAAAGCAAATCCACTTCCTATCAATTAACCCATTCACTGTGGATAATGTGGCCCTGGGGCCTCTGTGGTTGAGATGGGGCTGCCAGACCAGTACATGTGGCTAAGCCCTGAATTCTCTCCCTGAAAACATACAGAGCAGGACAGGCCCACTTGCTGTCTGTCCTTCATTCTCAACAGTTCCTGCCAATAACGTCACCTTTCCCAGCCCCTAGGGTCAGGAATCTGTCCCCAGGAAATCTGTCCAACCCCAGAACATGGGCTTTCTTGATGTAACCATCCTTACCTTCCATATTTGGCAGCTGTGGACTCTGACCACTGACTGGAAGCTGTGATGTCCTCATCTGGAATCTGGCCTCCTGACATGCCCAGAGGATAGCGGCATATAGCTAGACCAAGAGAAACCAAAGAGAAGAGAGAGGACATGCTTTTATTTTTATTTCCAGAACTCCCTAGGAAGAACATCACTGAATATTGAACAAGGAATAAGATAATTTACATCTTCCTCAATTCCTCTATGGCCCCAATTTGACCACCCTGACTCTATCAGATTTGTCTTTCTGGCCCTGACTCCAAATAAAATTTGGGCCTCCAAGATTTGACCCCCAGCCAAATCTGTGTTTTGGTTCAAATTCTGACAATCAATGTACTATAATGTAATGTGCCAATTTATGTTTTGTACTTGGTAATAACCCCAGTGGCCCATCCCATTCTCTTGTTAGCAGATGTTCACTTCTAATCAATTTCCTAACAGTAGTGAGGAACACTCATAATCACCAGGCACCCTTATGATACAAAGAATTATTTTTTTTCAGTAGTTAATTGCATGAAAACTATGAAGCAAACTACACACTTGCCTACGAAGGGATCGAACATACATTTTTGGCCCTGGTTAGAACCATGTTCTGAATTCTGGCTATAAACAATAAGCTCTGGATACAGACTTCCACTTTCAACCAAAGACAGGGTAACAGAGACCATATTTGCTCTCCAGTGTGAAACAACCAAAAAGGACAAAATATATGAAAAATTATGTTTTAAGATAATGAGCATCTGACAACAAAGGACAACAATCTGAGAGTCAGGAAACAAAACTTTGAGCCCTGTAGTGGCATCAGTTTACTGGCATGAGAGTGTGTCCAGGATACATCACAATGAGTGGGAACTCAGGCAGAGCCTGTAGAATCTCCTGAGTTGAGGAGACAAAAATAGGAGTCCAGAGAAGTAAAGGAAGCTAGAGTTCTCAGGACACTGGGCTGCCAGATAAAATTTAGTTACATTTGAATTTCAGATAAGCAACAACAAATTTTTTTTTCTTTTCTCTTTTTCTTTTTTATTATACTTTAAGTTCTAGGGTACATGTGCACAATGTGCAGGTTTGTTACATATGTATACATGTGCCATGTTGGTGTGCTGCACCCATTAACTCGTCATTTACAATAGGTATTTCTCTTAATGCCATCCTTCCCCCTTCCTCCCACCCCATGACAGGCCCCAGTGTGTGATGTTCTCCGCCCTGTGTCCAAGTGTTCTCACTGTTCACTTCCCAACCATGAGTGAGAACATGCAGTGCTTGGCCTTCTGTCTTGCAATAGTTTGCTCAGAATTATGGTTTCCAGCTTCATCCATGTCCCTACATAGGACATGAACTCATCCTTTTTTATGGCTGCATAGTATTCCATGGTGTATATGAGTCACATTTTCTTAATCCAGTCTATCATTGATGGACATTTCGGTTGATTCCAAGTCTTTGCTATTGTGAATACTGCCACAATAAACATACGTGTGCATGTGTCTTTATAGTAGTATGATTTATAATCCTTTGGGTATATACCCAGTAATGGGATCACAGGGCCACATGGTATTTCTAGTTCTAGATCCTTGAGGAATCGCCACAATGTCTTCCACAATGGTTGAACTAGTTTACACTTCCACCAACAGTGTAAAAGCATTCCTATTTCTCCATATCCTCTCCGGCACCTATTGTTTCCTGACTTTTTACTGATGACCAGTGGTGATGAGCATTTTTTCATGTGTCTGTTGGCTACATAAATCTCTTCTTTTAAGAAGTGTCTGTTCATATCCTTTGCCCACTTTTTGATGGGGTTGATTTTTTTTCTTATAAATTTGTTTAAGTATTTGTAGATTCTGGATATTAGTCCTTTGTCAGATGGGTAGATTGCAAAAATTTTCTCCCGTTCTGTAGGTTGCCTGTTCACTCTGATGGTAGTTTCTTTTGCTGTGCAAAAGCTCTTTAGTTTAATTAGATCCCATTTGTCAATTTTGGCTTTTGTTGCCATTGCTTTTGGTGTTTTAGTCATGAAGTCCTTGCCCATGCCTATGTCCTGAATGCTATTGCTTACATTTTCTTCCAGGGTTTTTATGGTTTCAGGTCTAACATTTAAGTCTTTAATCCATCTTGAATTAATTTTTGTATAAGGTGTAAGAAGGGGATCCAGTTTCAGCTTTCCACATATGGCTAGCCAGTTTTCCCAGCACCATTTATTAGATAGGGAATTCTTTCCCCATTTCTTGTTTTTGTCAGGTTTGTCAAAGATCAGATGGTTGTAAATGTGTGGTATTATTTCTGAGGGCTCTGTTCTGTTCCATTGGTCTATATCTCTGTTTTGGTACCAGTACCATGCTGTTTTGGTTACTGTAGCCTTGTAGCATAGTTTGAAGTCAGGTAGCGTGATGCCTCCAGCTTTGTTCTTTTGGCTTAGGATTGTCTTGGCAATGCAGGGTCTTTTTTGGTTCAATATGAACTTTAAAGCAGTTTTTTCCAATTCTGTGAAGAAAGTCATTGGTAGCTTGATGGGGATGGCATTCAATCTTTAAATTGCCTTGGGCAGTATGGCCATTTTCACGATATTGATTCTTCCTATCCATGAGCATAGAATGTTATTCCATTTGTTTGTGTCCTCTTTTATTTCATTGAGCAGTGGTTTGTAGTTCTCCTTGAAGAGGTCCTTCACATCCCTTG